CAGGTGTGGTATTGCACACTTAAAACCCCTGCTGGGCATGGGGAGGCAATTGGGTCCTTGGGGCTTGCTGACCAGTGAGCATATCCTAGTCTGTGAACCCTAGATCTTGTTGGGAGATGGCTCCTAAAATCCAATATCATATGTTGACCTTTTGCCTCTACATATGAATGTGAATACACATAAAATAAAAAATTAACAGTGGCTGGAGACATGGTTTAGAAGTTAAGAGCATGGCTACTTTTCCAGAGAGCTGGATTCAGTTTGTGGCGCTTAACATGGTGGTTCGCAAACAGCTGTCATGACATTCTGGAGGCATCTTCAGGTCTCCAAGAGCATCAGGCATACACATAGTGCTTAAGTATGGGTCGGCAAAACATTCATACATATGAAATGATAATAGTCGTGCATTTTCTTTTTGCTTTTTTTTGTTTTGTTTTTGAGACAGGGCTCTCTGTAAGTAACAGTCCTGGATCTCCCTATATAGACCAGGCTAGCCTTGAAATCATAGAGATCTGCCTGCCTCTGCCCCTGAGTGCTGGGATCAAAGGCATGCACCATGCCTTTTTAACAAGAAAAATGTTACAAAGAATAACAATGACTAGCTATAAATCTTTAATGTGTCCACAATTTCTTTTTGTGTTTTGACAAATGTATTTTTTAGAACAGTCTGATAAAGTTAAATATCATTATGTATCTTACTGAAGAGAACTAGGATGTAGAGTCATCCAACTCTTGACTGTGAACCATAATATATCTAAGTCATGTCAGAAGCTTTATCTAAAATGTGGAAGCCCCCCCCATCGCAACTGGAACTTGCTGTGTAGTGCAGGCTGGCCCTAAACTTAAAAAGGAGAAACCCTTACCCCACCCCACCCCAACCAAATGGTTTTCTCAAAATGGTTTCTTAAAAGTGGTTAAACTGGAGTTGGATGTAGTGGTAATCCAGTATGGAGGCTAGCCTGGTTCTTCTACATAGTGAGTTTTAGGATAGGCAGAGCAAATGGTGAGACCCCTCTCAGAAACAAACAAAATGGTTAAACTGACTTACATATCCTTGGGACACCTCACAATCAGTTCTCTGCATTTTGGATAGCCTGTTGCTATTGTAGACACAGAAGATCCCTAAGAAAGAGTAATTGGCCAATGTTAACTATCCTAGGAAGTGGAAAATTACAATGCAGGAAGTAAAGATGATTTAGAGAAGTATTAGCTTGAGGCCTGGCCAGGAGTTGACTAGACCAGAACTGTGTAACCTGGAGATAGATAGATCTGTCAGACACTAAATTGCTACAGCCCAAGTGGAGGAGAGCTGGAAAAGGGCAAGGCGCAAATTCAGCTAGACCTTTCTATATGTGGGACCTGGCCTGAGGAATACATCTCTCTGTGTTGAACTTTTCCTTATGCAGTCATGGTAAAAATCTGTTAAAGTTTTTTTAATTAAAATTATTTTTGTAAGATAACTGAGTAGCGATCTCAAACTGAGAATAGAGGATGCTGTTGGCATTAGGATTCCTGACTCAGACACCAAAACGTATGAAAAGACAATTAGTTTTTATTAAGAAGTACAGAAGAGAAACTTTCAGAATGGTCTGAGTTTAAGGTATAGAATAATTTCTAGTTCTTTGATTTTTTTTCATGCTATCTCTGAATTTTAAAGGTGATTCCTATTGTATGCTTAAAACGACTAGTAGAAATATCTGTGACAACGGTTTTTTCCATCTATAGTGAATATCAAGAGGGAAAGTATAGATTCAATCAATCCATTAGATTCTTTTAAAAAATAGAAAAGGTGGGTGAATAACACAGCCTTTTACCCAAAAATTCTTTTACTTTATCAAAAAATTGAATCATACAGCTTGTATTTAATTGGGTATGGTTTCATTAGTTATGCATAATGTTTCTGAGATTTATGTTGTTATAATAACATGATAGATTTATATAATGTTAAGTGCCCCCCCAGCATCCTCTACTATTTACTTATTCTTTGTATTGAGAAATAGCACTCAGTTGTTGGAATTAAAATGCCATATGAACATTGGACTTGGTTAAGCTGGTAGATTTTATTATATTTTATATAGAGATTTTATTATATATGTATATATATTTTACCACAAATAAAGCTAGCACCTTTCCAGCTATTTTCTGTAATACAGAGATCCATGCTCTACTTTGTTGAAGCCAACCTTGGCCTTAGTCTCCTAATTCTCCTGCCTCTTCCTCACTTTCCCTTCTGTTGTCCTCCATTCTTCCTTTTTTCAAATCCCACTATTAAAAAACTTTTTGGTAACAAGTGTTCTTTTATGTTAATTTTACAACTTTTTCTTTAAATATTTTAGTTCAGGCACCAACTCTTGAGTTTACAGTTTTCTTGCTCATTTAAATTCTTGCCTTTCCATTTGTGATTTCAGTATCCGGTAAATACACAGCGGTAATTTTGTTATTATCTTTAATTCCGCATCCCCATTGACCCACTTTTCTTCTTTTCTTTCTCTTCCCTTTTGCTTTTTGGAGACAGGGTCTCACCTTATCCTAAGCTGGTATAGAACTCACTTTATAGCCCAAACTGACCTCAAAACTTGCAACGGGCTGATGGGAGTTCTTCATCAGCCTCCCAAGTGTTAAGATGGTAGAGGGAGAAGGCCTGGTTCTGCTTTGGTTAGGCATTCAACTCTCTTTCTCTCCCCTCCCCTGTAAAGGATAGCTTGTATTTATTCTTTGATAGTTTGATACATGTAAATAATGCATCTTGAACATATGTACCCCAGTTTGTATTCTACTCCCAGGAATCCCTTCTCTTTCCCACATGCCCACATGCTCAACACTGCCAATACCCCCTTTTTGTGATCTCTCTTTGTCCTATTTCCCACCTCAGTCAAGTTAGTGCTACTAGCTGTGGAATACTGACTGGTCTTGCTGGCTTGATCTTGTGTGGGTGGATCATAACTGTAGTGAGTCCATGGATGGAAGGACCATTTCATATTCCCTTGCTGTCCTCTGGCTCTTATATTCTTAAGCCCTTCTGTGATATTCTGTCAGCTGGGGCAGGGGTGGGTGGGGTGGTATTGTTGATACAGGTGTCCCATTTAGTTAGGCCTGAGAACTCAATGGAGACTTATTCTTAGCACTTTGACCAGTTGTAGACCTGCATTAACTGTTGGGTATTGCAGAGAGAAGTTTCTCTGGTTAGGATTGAAGACAGGCCTAATCTATGGATCTGAGCATAAATATTGAGAAGGCAATTTGACAACTTGTTTAGCAGAAGAACAGTAGTAGTAGGATTCCTGTCTAGGGCCTATGACCTCTCAAGCCTTGGACTTTAGGCCAGATTTACAGTATGGGGCCCAAATCTTATTCTGTGTAATTAAATCCAAAGTAATTGATCACCCCCATAGCTTTCATGCCATTATTATACATACCACTGGGCTCATCTGATTTCATTGCTGTACTCTTAACATTGCCTTAATTGACTTCTCACATCACTAAAACGTCTAATCTCTCATAAAATCAATTATTTTATCTGGTTTGGCTATACCAACCAGTGAAAGTACCCTGATCTCTTGCCTGTGCTTCTGTCTGAGTTTGAACTACTCTTATACTGTCTCATTTAGGTTTTGTGCCGTTTTTAGTCTTACATTTCTGTTGGATGATCTTCCTAGAGTGGTCTGAATTTTCACATTCTGTTTAGATCCCCTCACCCCCAGGGGTTTCTCTTTGTATGTCTGGCTGTCCTGGAACTCACTCTGTAGACCAAATTGGCTTCGAACTCACAGAGATCTGCCTGGCTCTGCTTAGAATTCTTCAATGGCTTCTTGTTACTTAGAAAACAAAACAAAGAAATGACATAGTATACCTGGCCCTTGATACTCAGTTTATTTTAAATTAGGTTTTGTCTCATATTATGGCAATTTGTATATTCTTTGACTCTAGAAAATGCACTAAGCAGTGCACTGAACATTTGTCTGAAGGACTTCTCTTTGAAGCTTCCCTATGTATTGAAGCTTTTTCAGACACCTGGTTTTGGTACAGATTATATTTTGTCACAGTGTGGTATCGTTGCATATTTGTGCCTGCTTAATACTATACTGTGAACCACACGAGTTTTTTTTACTTACATAGAAAGTACACTAAAGAAGAACAAAGAAGCTGGAAGGTGGTGCACACCTTTAATTCCAGCACTCGGGAGGCAGAGGCAGGCAGATCTCTGAGTTTGAGGCCAGTCTGGTCTACAAGAGCTAGTTCCAGAGTAAGCTCCAAAACTACAGAGAACCCTGTCTCGAAAACAAGAAAAAGAGAAAAAGAGACATATAAAAATTAATTTGTTGAGTTAATAATTTATAAAAAATGAAATAAAAGTATCCTAGTAGCTAAAGGGTTTGGATTTGAACATTAAACCTAAATTTCTAGTGTTATAATTAGAAAATTTGAGCACGTATAATTATTGATATTTTTAGAGTAAAAACTTCATTGATGTCTTTATTTGATAGAATCTCTTTGGAAAGCCTCATAAAACATAGTAGATAGTCAAATGCAAAATTGCATGTGTATTATGATTATAGTTCTATTTCAAAATGCTTAATTAGGTTTGTGGGTGTAGATCTGTTTTAGAGTACTTGCCTAGCATGTGAATTTGATTTACAGAACTCAGTCACTGAGTAGATAAGCACAGACTGATAGCAGCTATTTTGGAACTTTAGTGATTTTGATAGTATTTGTATAGTATGTTGTATTTTATGATTTCAATTGTATGCATCTTATTCAGATACTTGGATTAAAAAAAATAGATGTTCTCAATTAAAACTCTGATGTAACAGTACTCACAGTTTTCTGAGGAAGTTTTCCAGACAGGAGCTATTGGATTGCCAGTTAAAAGTTGCTGTTGTAGTGATATACAAGTGACCAGCAGCAGATAGTTACTTCAAAATTGACTCATAACTATTATTTCCTATGTATTAATTACAAATTCTCTGTTTTGAATATAGTCTTTGTTTATTTGTTTTAAGGTATCAGTTTTTGGAAGAAGCGTTTCAAAATCAGAAAGGTGCAATTGAAAATCTGTTGGCTAAGCTTCTTGAAAAGAAGAATTACGTTCATTTTGCAGCTACACAAGTGCAAAATAGGTAAGTTTGTTGCGTAAAAAAACAATTTTGCTTTAAGGATTATTAAGGAAGAATACATCTACATTAGATTTATTTTCCTACTACATTAAACATTCATAGAGATGTAATTTTTAATAGACCGTGATAAAATTTGAGCTTGATGTATTTGTTAATTAAAGTTTGCCAAAAACATTTAAAATTTTTAAGGATACATCTTTGAATTTTTATAATTAATAAGACTTCAGTGTACATGAGCTTTGAGCTTGGAAAATAAGTTAGTATGGAGAGAACTGAATTATAAAATTAAAGGTAGAAATTGTATGGAAGATGTAATGAGAATATTGATAATGGACAAAGGCTTTACTGGATAAGAATTTTTGATGTGGAAGCAAGAGGACTTAATAGCCCAGCACCCATATAGAAAGCTAAGTATGGGTTGGCTGTACACCCACCGTAAGCCCAAAGCAGTGAAAGGTAGAGACAGGAGGATGACTGGGCCTTGCTGCCCACCAGCCTAGCTCCAGGTGCAGTGACACCATTTCAAGGAAATGAGGGGAACTGATACAGAGCAGGGCATCCAGCATCTTCTCTGGACTGTACCCTGTGCTCTCACCCACACATAATGTATGCAGGCGCAGCACAACTAACTTACATAAAATATAACAAAATAACCCACAGTAGTGAAGAGATTTATTTTCTCACCAAACAAACATTCCAAACCACTTACTTTACTAGTAGCATTACAAGGTAAATCTATAATACAGATTTTTGTCATCCTAAGTACCCAGCTGCTGTTATTTTTATCATTGCCGTGGCCATCATCCTTATTATTTTATAATTATTCTATTTAGGCACATTTATTTATTTTTTGTGCTTAATTTTTAAAAACTTTTTATTTTTTCTTTGTGTCTTTTACATCATGTATCTTAATTCCATTCATTTCCCAATCCTTTTGTTTCCACCCTCCGCCCTTTCATCCTTTCCCCAAAATAAAAGAAAATTTAAGAGGAAAAAAAAAGAAGGAAAAATCAATCTCATAGACGTAGTGTGGCATGGTAAATTCTCTGTCCACATATCTTTACTTGCAAGTGTTCATTGTAAAGAGGCTTTAGTATTGTTTGAGGCCTCTGGTTTCTGCTACACTCTTGATGCTGGTCTCTAACTGGGACTCCTTGAATATCCAGTTGTTGTCCTGTGTTGTGGAGATCCTGCAGCTTTGGACATGCAGGACTGGCTTAGGTATATTTATAAACAAACTCGATTATTTATAGGGATAGTGGTAATAAGTTCTAAAGAGGGCAAATTAATAAGGTTAGGACTCTTGTCACTGGAACTGGATGGAACACTTTAAACCTAGAAATTCCTGAGAGTATGAATTAGATTGTAGTTAATTGAGTAGACTCAGTGATCTTGAAACTTTGTCTTGAATATTGAAACCACTAGTTAGTTCATGATGGTAAAATGACACATAATAAAACATACAAAGTATTAAATATTTGAGTGAATAAAATTAATGGTTTATGATTGAACTTTTCATCTTCAGTGAGACCAAAAGAAAATAAAAGGCAAGGCTGGAAAGATGGCTCAGCAGTTGAGTACTCACTGCCCTTCCAGAGGATTCAGTATTGGTCCTAGACTCCTTGAGTCTGGCTTGTATGGTTTCTGGGATCTGAACTTCAGTCTTTAATTTTGCAGCGAGTTCTGTTAATCAATTTTTCTCCAACTCCGCTCCTTATTATTTTAAAATTTTATTCAATGTTTTTCCATTTGCAAAGTACTTTTTAAAAAATATCTGTATGTGTGTTTGCTTGTTTATCTGTAAATGCAGCAGTGCGTACCCACAGATTCCGGAATAAGGGATTAGAACCTCTGGAACTGGAGTTACAAATGGTTATGAGTACTGAAAATGGTACTGAAAATGAACCTAAGTCCTCTGCAAGAGCAGCAAGTGCTTTTAACCACAAAGTCATCTCCAGCCCACATTATTTTAAAATTTTATTTTATTTTTTATATGTGTGAATGTTTTGCCTGTGTGTATATCTGTACCACTGCACGCCTGGAGCTTGAAGATTCCAGAGGGTGTTATATCCCTTCAAACTGGTGGTAAAAACAGTTGTGAGTTGCCACATGGGTTCTGGGAATCAACTTTTGGAACCTCTGAAAAAGCTCCAAATCTCTGAGCCAGCTCTCCAGCTCCTCCCACCCCCAGTAGTTTATAATGGATACGTTTTAAAGTACAATAAGTCTGAGACTTGTTTGTTTTGTTTTATGTTGGAGGTCTGAATATAATACTATCCATGGGGTGTGTTTGTTGTGTGGGTGTGTGTGCATGTGTGCTCACACTTAGTATTTGGGGGTAGCATTTCAAGACTTGCTTTCTCTGTGTAATAGTACTGGCTGTTCTGGAACTCACATTGTTGACCAGGCTGGTCTCAAACTCATGAAGGTCTGCCTGCCTCTGCCCCACAAGTGCTGGGATTAAAGGTATGTGCCACTACCTCTCAGCAGTAACTTTTTATTTTTTATTTATTGTTTTCCATTTACTTTAGTAAGGACAGAATTCAATAAAAGTTGCAAATAAGTATCTAAACAAGCAGTGATACATAGACAAAGGAGGAAAAATTGTATTAAATTGATGAGAATGTGTGAAAAATTGTAATGTATTTGGCTGCTGAAAGAGTGTATATTACAATAGTAGAATACATAAAAGATAAAGACTAGATATTATGGTTGGGTAGTGATATTTTACTTTTATTAATGAGATGACTTCTTATTTTATAAATATGAAAGCAATCTAACATTTTATATTTGTTGCCAGAACTTTAATATGTGTAATTGTAATAGGTAGATATATTTATTTATGAAACATGTAGGAGCTATTTTTAAAAATGGATTGTTTTATAATCTTTGGGGATAAAACACATTCTTAGCAATAAAACAGACCCTGGGTCACTGCTAACAGGTGTGTTCCCTACCCCCAATGATTTAATGTTTCACTCTCTGAGGTATTAAGCCAGTTTGAGAGGAAATTATGAAACAATCTTAACTAGAACCCATTTTTGAAGTGATAAACCTTAAAATGAAAATAGATGCTGCTTTTAAGTGAAATTTCTGCCGTTTCAAAAGGTTGTAACTAATCATTGTGATATTCTTTTGTATTTTGTTTTCAGAAAGCATCTTAGGTGGAATTTTCAAATATGATTAGACAATATGTGTAGCAAATTTGATTGCTAGTCAGTAGTGCTAGGTATTTGTATCACATTCATGCCATAGTATTTGATATTCTACAGATAAATAAACTGGCCTTCATAATCTTAATTTAAATCACTAAATATTGAATTTATTCTTTGTGTGACTTTGAATCTAATTAAATGGTTAGGTCTGCTACAACATAAGTTGTGTGTAGTCGGAAGCTGCTTGTTCGTTTCCTGCTGCCCAAACCTGAAGTAATCACACAGAATCTGTGTTAATTAAAACACTGCTTGGCCTATTAGTTTAGGCATATTACTGGCTAATGCTTGGCCTATTAGTTTAGGCATATTACTGGCTAACTCTTGTATAGGCTCGTGGTTTACTGGTAAGGTTCCACCTGGCGTCTCTCTCCTTCAGTGGCTACATGGCTCTTTGATTCCACCTACTCACTCTTCTATCTGTTTGGAATTCCCACTTTTTCCTATTCTGCACTGCAATAAGCCCAACGCAGCTTCTTTATTATGGTATTCACAACATACAGTGGGAATTCCACATCATCTGTGCATGCTGACAAATATTTAACTTTAATTACTTGGAAAAGTGCCTAGTTGAATGATTCCGACACAAGTTGTGTTGATAACCTAATGATGCATTTTACTTATTCAGGATCAAAGAAGTAAATGAGACTAATAAACGAGTAGAACAAGAAATTAAAGTGGCCATTTTCACCCTTATCAATGAAATTAATAAGAAAGGAAAATCTCTCTTACAGCAGCTAGAGGTAAGGTTAAAGCAAAAGTAAAACAAAAACTACTTCTCTTGCTCTTCTGCTGTTCTCAATGTTTATTCAAACCTCTTTTAAATGGGTGGGGGGTGTTCTTCCTTGCAGCATTTTTCTGAGAATCCAGGATTGCTACTATGGGATAGAGAACTAGCTTTTTACAATTACTTTGTTGTTAATTTTAATAACACTTTGATTTTTGTTTTTTGGCCGACTTGGAAATCACTATGTTAGTCTTGAACCTATAGAGCTTAGCTCTGTCTCCCGAGTACTGGGATGGGAGTCATGTACTGCCATGCCTGACATAAAACATTTTTTTCCTTTTTCAAGCCATGTAACTAGATAATTGTGATATTGTCTTAGGAAAGAATTATTACTAAAGCATGATGTAAATGAAGACAAAGCAAGCCCTTTGAATTTCTTTTCTTCCTTTATAGCAAGAAGCCTCAATTTAACTTCTTTATATGAATGCAGTTGGGCTTATGTTTGAGCCATGTATGTTTTTCTGTAATTTGCCAAAAATGTTTCATAGTTTGAAATACAAACCTTAAACTTAGTTACTAATTTTATAGTATTAGGTCTCTGTGTTTCATATTTTGTGATTAATATGTAGTAATCCAAATGAAGTTTTTTGTGTTTTGCTTTTTTCTAGACAGGGTTACTTAGTGTAGGCCTGGCTGACCTGGAACTCAGAGAGTTCTACCTACCTCTGCCTCTCAAGTGTTGCGATTAAAGGCATATGTCACTACTGTCTGGTCCCAGATAAAGTTGTAATCTAAATCTTTACTACCCAACGCTGATGCGTTCTCAGAAAATTTCAAATGTGAATTTTTATTTATTTTCCTTTTTTTTTTTTTTTTTTTTTTGGCTGGGTTTCTCTGTGTGGTCTTGGCTGTCCTAGAACTAATTCTGTAGACCAGGCTGGTCTTAAACTCACAGAAATCCTCCCGCCTCTGCTTCCCAAATTCTGGGATTAAAGTCCTGTGCCATCACTGCCCGTCCAAATGTGAATGTTATAGAAGTTGAGGTGTTTTTTTGTTTGTTTGTTTGTTTTTGGTTTTGTTTTGTTTAAAAAACTAATTAGATTATCCTTAGATGGTTGTTTCTATTTTATTTATCCATAGAACCTTTTAAAGGTATGAGAAACAGGTAGTTATATGCAAATGAAAGAAATCTTGTGAACAAGATATTTGAATCTTTGTGTTTTAAATACATTTTGCATTGAAAATTAGTAGTGATGTTAAAAATCTTGAACATATCGCTAAAGTTTGGAGTGTCTTTCCTATTGTACTTGTATTCAGTATTAACTCTAATAGGTTTTTTTTTTCTTTAGGATAACCGTATGAATCTAGAGCAGTTAGTATTAACTACTTTTAATATATTTTCATGTATTATAAATACATTTCATACATTTAAAAGTGATCATTGTAAATCTATTTCAAGAGCTTCAGAATTTAAAAGTGCATATTAAAATTAAGGTGTGTAAAAGAATATTTTTGAGACAGGGTTTCTCTGTGTAGCTGTGGATGTCCTGTAACTTGCTCTATAGATCAGAATGGCCTCGAATCTAGAGATCTGCCTGCCTCTGCCTCCCGAATACTAGATTAAAGGTGTGCAGCTTTATTGCCTGGCAGTGTTGATGATTTCTAGTGAGGCTGCAAATCAACATTCTGTCTATTGGACACTTTCATTTATTTATATATAAACTTGTTTCCTTTTGAAAAATACTGTTTAGTAAATTAAGTTATATAATTTGGGGAGAGAAAATGTTTAAGAAAGAAGTGGATAGGTTCTTTTTGGCAAGATGTATAGGACATTGCCATACCTCCTTGGGTAGTGGTTCATTTTGGGCAGTTTATTCTTCCTGCAGCATTTTCCTGAAACTAGTTTTTGTTTGAACTTTGTTATACCAGTTTGCTTAATTTCACCCTTAAACCTTTGGAATTTATCATTTTCCCCTTTGTTTGAGAAATTTTAACCTTCTCAAGTTATAACAGTAGGTGGCACTAGTAACTCACATTTTCTTTAACCTAGAAAGTATAGTTAAGATTGTATAAAATGGCTCTTCAAGGTCAACTCAGACTGTATTGAATTAACCTAAAAACAGGAAGACACTGTATTTGATGAAAGAAAAACCATAAACTACTTCTGATATCCTCAATGGAATGGATTAACTTAGAGCAGGAATATTTGGTCTCACTTTTGTTTGTTACTTTCCTTCCTATTGTTCATAAACTCACCAAATAGTTATAGGCTTCCTTTGTACCATTTCTTGAAGGAAATATAGGTATTTATGTATGTGACTTTTTAAATTCTTCAGTGAAACTCTTGTTCTATTTCAGAATGTTACAAAAGAAAGACAAATGAAGCTACTCCAGCAGCAGAATGATATCACAGGCCTTTCCCGGCAGGTGAAGCATGTTATGAACTTTACAAACTGGGCCATTGCAAGCGGCAGCAGCACGGCACTACTGTATAGCAAACGGCTGGTGAGACACATAGTATCTTTATACTTAATGGACCTATTATTTACAAGTGTAGAATGTTTATATTGTAAAAACAAAAACATGTTTAAAGTATTAATATGCATTTTGGCTATTGTAACCATCTGTATATAAGGATAGAGTAGCTGAGCTTGGTGACTTAACTAATTTGAGCCGGCACTTGGGAAGTTGAGGCCAGAGAATTGTGAGTTCAAAGCTAACCTTAACTACATTTAATTTTAATACTAACGTGAATTTTTTTTTCCTTGAAGATTACTTTTCAGTTGCGTCATATTTTGAAAGCACGATGTGATCCTGTTCCTGCTGCCAACGGAGCAATTCGTTTCCATTGTGATCCTACCTTCTGGGCCAAAAATGTAGTCAATTTAGGTGAGAAATCATCTCTTGGATATGGTTTGGGCTATTAAGTTGAGAAGAGAAACCATTTAAGCAAATTGTTTATGTTTTTAAACTTTAAAATGTGAGTGACGTATGGAATGTAATGTGTTGGAAACTGTTTAGTTGCAGGCTGGCTTTTGCTTTTCGTGCTTGGGGTTTGGACCCTGGCCTCTTGCACACTGAGCATGCTCTCTACTCTGCAGTCCTTGTAGGGTGTGGTCCCTTTGTAGCCTTTCCTTTTCAAAATTCACATTGATTGTTTCATATAGAGATGATTATTGTCTGATAATTCTTATATTAGTTTATGTCAGATGGTGCAGTGGAGGAGGAACTGAGGACACTGTAGTGTTTATAGTCACATTCCAAAGAGTATTTGACAAGAGGAACTCTTTTCACTTGGTAAAAATATAAACTTTGCTTTTGCTTTTATTGCTCCATATTGTTGGCCTAAAGACCATGGGTGGAAGTTGTATGGGTAGATGATAAAAACAAGAAACAAAACAAACTTCAGACTGAAAAAGCAAAGCAAGTAGTGCATATTGTAATTTTAGCTGGGAGATGGAGGCACAAGGATCACTTGAGCCTAGGAGTTTGAAGCCAGTATAGGTGACGCAGTAAGATACTGTCTCTTAAAGAAAGGTAAAATGAAACAAAATGACTCAAAATGAAATCTGCCATCTGTTGGAATATTCTCAGTTTCAAAATAACGATGTCCTTGAGATATGAATTGCACTATTTAAAGTTAGGCATCTTTGGGTAAATGAAAGAAAGCGGACTCTCAGTTTTGCCTTCAGTGCTGTACCAGAAAATCACTCTTGTAAGTGTGTGTGTGGTATTCTTCATTTTCAAAACATGTAAAAGCAATTGACTGTTAGCAGAGTTCTTTGTGGCCTGCCAACAGCCAGCCACCTTAAATCATGCCTTTTGAGAACTTATTCTCTATTCTCAGAAAGCAACAACTGTATAAAAGGGGAGGGAAATGACTGAATGTATAAATGCTTCAAAGCATTCAGGATTTCCATAGAAAATTATTTGTTAGCAGGTTATTCTTTTGCTCTTAACAATGGCAATTGGAAAGTAAATGGGAAGATGGGGCGATGGCTCAGTGGTTAAAGGCACTGGCTGCCCTTTCAGAGGACACAAATTTGATTCCCAGCATCCACATGGCTGTTCACAACTGTTTGTAACTCCAGTTCCAAGGGATCTGATACCCTCTTTTGATCTCTTCAGGCACCCAGGCATATACAGTAGTTGGTTCACAGACATGTATGCAGCCAAAACACTCGTACACATTTGATCACACTCGTACACATAGAATCAGTATAGCAACCATCATGAGTATCCTGGAGTCTTTCATGGAAGAATTGATTCACACATACTGGATCCTTCCTCTAATGATGTCTCTTTCAGTCTCCGGCCAGCTAGCTTGGGTTATGCAGCAGCAAAGACACTGTGCCTTAAGCTAGCTGGAAAGGGGAGGACTAATATCCAAAGCTTGTCCTCTGACCTCCACCTGCCCACAACCATGCACACACAAAACATGCACATGCATACACATGTCATGCGCACATAGGTGTAATAGTCTATTTTAAATAATGAGCTTATTTGTGGGAGGGTTCAAGGGGCTTTGGAATCTATTTAATTTTTAATTACCGTCTTCAGCCTTAGTGCTCATTTATGCTTTGCTGTTAGATGCTCTGAGGTGCTAATTGTTAGGAGGAGGAAAAGATAGTGATTCATCTTTAAAGTGGACAGTTTAGTTGATTATTTGTAAATCCTTCTTATGTTTTTAAACCCTCAGGTAATCTAGTAATAGAGAGTAAGCCAGCTCCTGGTTATACTCCTAATGTTGTAGTTGGGCAAGTTCCTCCAGGTACAAACCACATTAGTAAAACCCCAGGACAGATTAACTTAGCACAGCTTCGACTCCAGCACATGCAGCAACAAGTGTATGCACAAAAACATCAACAGTTACAACAGATGAGAATGCAGCAACCCCCAGCTCCTGTACCAACAACAACAACAACAACACAACAGCATCCTCGGCAAACAGCCCCACAGATGTTACAACAACAGGTAAGCATTGTGTCCCTCCAATATTGATAGAAATAAGAAATAAAACCATACGACTACACTTCATTCTGTGTATATGAATTACACATTTAGAGTTATTAGACAGAGTTCAAAGTTCAGAGATGTGGGGAAAGCTTGAGGAATATAGGTATTATGTAAGAACAGAGGAAGTAGTGACATTTTTGCCCCTCCATACCACGTTACCCCCTCCCCCATACAAATAAAATCATGAGCCAAAGAATCAGATTGTTTCTAAGATCTGTTGCATTCTTTAGGCATTTGCTCAAATTTTTCTTATTGTTGGTCTTTTGTTTGTGTACTTTTTCACAATCAAGTGTTAGCTCCATGCTGAGATGAATTGTTGTTAGGGTGCCCCCCCCCCCCCCCCCCCTCTTGTTTGTGTACTTTTTCACAATCAAGTGTTAGCTCCATGCTGAGATGAATTGTTGTTAGCCCGCCCACCCACCCTTTTTCTTTCCCTCTCTCCCAGAAACGATAGATAGAGAAAATTTGGAGTGACCAATTTTTTTATAGTTATTACCAGACCTATAAATTATTGGGGCTAGAAAAAAGAGCTTATTCTATTGCTTTATACTATTCTGTTATAATTGAATTACTTTACTTTAACATTTTATGATTCAAAAACAGATTTGTAGAAATATATGAACTGGATGTGGTGGCACATGCCCTTAATCCCTGTACCTGGGAAGTTCAAGAGTTCAGAGTGAGTTCCAGACAGCCAGAGCTACACAGAGAAACCCTGTTTTGAAAAAGAAACAAACAAAAACTAAAGTGGAAAATATGAATTGCAATTTTTACTTTTTATAGCCTCCAAGATTGATCAGTGTGCAAACAATGCAAAGAGGCAACATGAACTGTGGAGCATTTCAAGCCCATCAAATGAGACTGGCTCAGAATGCTGCCAGAATACCAGGGATACCAAGACACAGCGGCCCTCAGTATTCCATGATGCAGCCTCACCTCCAAAGACAAGTATGCCTAGAGTTACATTTGTAAGAATCATACAATTTTAAAACTAAAAGACATTTTTCATAATTAGTTATTGGTGTGGGTCTTTGATATTTCTGACAATTTGTTTTATATCTGCTTGTCCCAGAAAAAAATATGTGCACAGGAAAATTTGTTTCTTTAAGCCTATTATACTATGAATTAAGGTAGTCTTGTGTAACTAAACTCATCTATAGAGTGAAAAAGAAGGAACTTTTGACTTATCCTTTAGTTCCAAATGATAATTCTGAAAATCAAGGTTAGAGCTTTAATTTTCTCATATTTTATTGTGCTTTTTAACATTACATTTTAATACTGATAACAAAGAATTTTTTTAAAAAAAACTTTATTTAACTTTTATTTCATGCATATTGGTATAATGATGTCAGATTCTCTTGAATTGGAGCTACAGACAGCTGCGAGCTGCCATGTGGGTGCTGGGAATTGAACCCTGGTCCTCTGGAGGAGCAGTCAGTGCTCTTAACCACTGAGCCATCTCAACAGCCCCAACAAAGAAATTTTTAAGTTTAAGGCTAGTTGTATGTATGTAGATGTGTTTATATACTTTTTTTCTGCAGAGTATAGATATGCTTAATCTTAAATTATTGTGGTTTAGGATCTAGCTCAGTTGTAGAATGCTTGAAGCACCAGGCTTGGTCTCTATTACTGTCAAGAGAACAATAATAAAGGAAATGAAGCCAGATTTAGTAACTGTGACTGTAATCCTAGTGCTAGAGGGGTCGAGGTAGGAGGATCGTAAATTCAAAGTTACCCTTGGCTTCATGGAGATTTCAAGGCCAGCCTATGCTACATTAGCCCTTCCTTAAAAGGCCAGCTGTCTTAGATAGAGATGGAGAAATGGCATAGTTTTTAGAGGCACTTTCTATTCTTACATAGGACTTATCTGTGGTTTTTAGGACTTACCTGGTAGCCCAAAACTATCTATAATTCCAGTTTCCAGGAGATACAGCAGCGCCTTCTGGCTCTTGAAGTCAATGCACACATGTGTTGCACAGAAACTCATGGAGGTATCACACAAGCACCTAGATAGATAGATAGATAGATAGATAGATAGATAGATAGATAGATAGATAGATAGGTGAATAAAATTATTTAAAATGAAATAAAATACGAAAAATAAAGCGATTTAGAGCAAAATTATAACCTTTAAATTATATAATTATCTAAACTCAGTATGAACTATGATTATAAAATGAAGTGTTTTAAACAGTATTTCAAGTTAAAAATATATTCTTTAATCCCAGCACTCGGGAGGCAGAGGCAGGTGGATCTCTGTGAGTTCGAGACCAACCTGGTCTACAGAGCTAGTTCCAGGACAGGCTCCAAAGCCACAGAGAAACCCTGTCTCGAAAAACCAAAAAAACAAAAACAACTCAGTGCTTTCTCAAAACATGAACATGCTGTGGACTGGGTATGGTAATGCACACCTATAATTTCAGAACTCAGGAGATAGAGTAGACGTAGCGGGTGTCTATAGAGATCTTGTCTCAAAAATTAAACAAACATGATGTAGAGGCTCTTAGAATCACCGGTTAATTTAAAAGTGCAATGGTAATGTTAGTATAACAGATTTTGAGCCATAACCACGAGGCTCAAATTTGGGGAATAGGGAGTTTGTCAATGGCTCAGGCTATGAACACTTCCTTTAGTTCATAAGCACTCGCATGGCAGCACCCTCTCTTACGTACATGGAGTGTGTTTCCATTCAGCTAGACATGCACACATACACAGAAACTAATACTCCTTAAGTAGAATCAAATAATTTCCAAATCAAAGAAAGACTAGGGTAAACTTCTACTAAGTTTGCTTGTTTAGTCTACATGTTAAACACTTAAAGCAATGATTCTGTAGCTCTTTACCAAAATTACACCTAGAAAGATTTCTGAAAAATGTTTGCTTACCTTATATTTAAAATTTTTATATATTTGTAACTAGTGGTGAAAATCTTCTAGGATATTGTAAATATTGACTTGAAAGCTAAAAGTGGGATGTAAGATGGCTCAGACAGACACTGAGAAAGTGGGACTTAGAGATGGTTCAGTGGTTAGAGCAAAGACTGCCCTTCTAGATTCGATTTCCAGTGCTCGCTTGATGACTCAACCATCTGCAACTCCAGTTTCAGGGGATATGAATACTTCCGGACACAGTGCATGTGGTGCACAGATGTACATGCTGGGAAAACATTCATATACATAAAAATAAATTTTTAAAAAAGATAAAGTTATTTTTAACAAAAATTATTGGTTAAATCGAGTGATAACAAAGGCTTTTCCTAAGACTTAAATCCTTTCTGTTGAAAAGTTATCATTGTATTATTTGTACACACTTATGGAAACAAAATAGGTTTATGTGGTTTAAGACAGATGAGGCTGGAGAGATGGTTCAGCAGTTAAGAGCACTTCTACTCTTGCAGAGGACCTGGCTTTAGTTCCCAGTGTCCACGTGGCGTTCAAACTGTCTGTAACTCCCTTTCCAAGGTATCTGATGGCCTCTACTGACCTCTCTGGGCACTGCACACATGTGGTGCACACATATACATGTAGGCGCTCATATACATAAAAAGGCATACTAATCAAATGATGTAAAAAATTTTTTTAAATATTTATTTATTTATTATGTACACAATGTTCTGTCTGTGTGTATGCCTGTAGGCCAGAAGAGGGCACCAGACCTCATTACAGATGGTTGTGAGCCACCATGTGGTTGCTGGGAATTGAACTCAGGACCTTTGGAAGAGCAGGCAATGCTCTTAACCACTGAGCCATCTCTCCAGCCCCTGATGTAAAAATTTTTAAAGTATATATTTCTTAAGTGTAGTCTTGTAACCTCCTTTTCAGTTATATGCTTTTTACTATTATTTATTGTTAAAATAAAAATAATCGATTCTTACTGTGTTTTGTTTTTATGCAATGCTCAAGAAAATTGATAAAAATTAATGTAATTGGAGAGTAGAAATTTTATTACAAAAATATTTTCTCATGCCGGGCGATGATGGCGCACGCCTTTAATCCCAGCACTCGGGAGGCAGAGGCAGGCGGATCTCTGAGTTCGAGGCCAGCCTGGTCTACAGAGCTAGTTCCAGGACAGGCTCCAAAGCTACAGAGAAACCCTGTCTCGGGAAAAAAAAATTTTTTCTCACTTTTTTGAATGTTTTCTAATGGAGCTTTTCACAGTTCTGTTTCACTAATCGGGTTATTGGCTCTTCATTTTTGTTGATTTGCAGTATCAGCCCCTTTGATACCCAAGTCCTTTTTCAATTGTGCCTTTGTTTAATTTTGTAATTTGGTTTTAACTTTTCCCCCCATATTTTTCAGCAGTATGCCATTACTTTGTCAAGTGAGAGAAGGACAGTTGTGAAAAGACCATTTATGACACAGTCTTAGGCAAATAAGTTTTTAAAATAATACCTAGGAAGACTGAAGATGCTAGTTTCCTTGTAACTATTGATATACTTGTGTACCCCTTAGTTCTTGGGGTACTTTTAAATATTGTAAGTACAAAGGTTTAACATTTGAAAGGGTACCAAGAATCAAGGTTTTAGAGTTTTCCCTTCAGAAGTCACTGTCAGCATTTTCAGTTTTTTAATATTTGATTGATTTAATTTTGTATGTTTAGTGATTTCCCAAAGACCTGCACATATATTAACTTAAATAATCCTCATAGCAGCCCAGTCTATGAAACCATTAAGGGATCATTTATCTATATATCACAATTACTGAGATTATGTGACTGTTTAAAACTTCATAGTATTAGAACTAGGAATCAGTGTCATAATTTCTTTCTTAAGTTCATCATTCTTTCTACCATATTGTTAAATTTGTAGTTTTTTTTTCATTAGATAGGCGACTAACGGATCACAGAATAGTGCTTTCAGAACTGTGCCTTCCATGGCTGACTATTTGTAAACTTGGTGCCTTCTACATCTTTATATCCTTGTTCTGAAGATCATATCAGTAGGCTGACAAGTTGACAATTATTTGCAAATCTGTTTACCCTAGAAAGATTAGTTCAAACTCTTGTATAAGTTTGAGAGGCTCCATTTCTTTGTCAACTGCAGATACTTTTAGTTTGGAAAGGATACACTAAAGATAGTTATATTGTTCTAAGTTATGGTTCAGAGATGGTGGCAAGAGCACATAATTATAATACCTTCTTTCTTAAACAGCACTCAAACCCAGGACATGCTGGACCCTTTCCTGTTGTATCAGCACACAACCCAATCAACCCAACAAGCCCTACCACAGCAACTATGGCAAATGCAAATCGAGGTCCCACCAGCCCATCTGTTACAGCAATAGAACTAATCCCCTCAGTCACCAATCCAGAAAACCTTCCATCATTGCCAGATATTCCACCTATACAGGTTTGTATTTAAGTTAAACAAATTGTTTAAAATCTCATACTAATTGAAAAAGATACATATTTCAGAATTTTTTTAGTTTCAGGACCAGTAATTTACTTGAACGAACCTTCTGAAAAGTAAAGGACACATATTTAAAGTTTAAAGTTCCTGTGTTGAAACTGGTATTCCTCCATGTTTTAAAGTTAGAAGAGTCTATTTAAACAAGTACAGTAATGGTTGTCCACTCCTTAAAACCAGTTGAGCAGAGAGTGGCTTGTGTTGAAAGGTTTAGATATCAGGCACTTTGGGGGACATAGTAAAAGAGAAGAAATTATGAAGAAAAGGAGAAGATGAATCATAAAGTGCCGAGGTTTCTCATTTCTTCAGCTTTTATAAATAAAATATTTGAGGATTATACTATTTTTCCCCTACTTGTATGACTTTTGTTGGGGGTCACCAGGGCGTCAAGGAGCAGTGAAGCTGCTGGAATAGTAGGACTGTGAAACAGGTTCTTACTGTGTATTCCTGGCTGGCCTCAAAGTCACTGAGATCATCTGCTTCTGACTTCTGAGCCAGGATCGAAGGCATGAGCCACCGTTGTCTGGCTGTGTTAGAGTTTTAAATGATACTTTTTATAACTTCAAAGTTATTTGAAAACCACTGGCTTCTTGTGATTCTGTCAGTCTACTACAGTTTCTTGATATTTGAAGAGATTGGGGTCTCCCGACCAAGGAAATAGTAACCGGATTGGTAGTGATAAGGATTAGACTATATAATAGAATGTAATTAAATTTTTGGAATGTAAGTTAAAAGGTTACATTTGTAAGTTATCTTGTAATTAACAAAATGCTTTCTTGGGCAATTTGTGAGTTTTGATGCTTGAAATTATCTGGAATATGTAACGTTGATATTTATAATGAAATAATGGTGAGTGACTTTTCTATGTATGTAGTTGGTAAAAATGTTAGAAATTTCTAAAGATTTATTTATTATACATACAGTGTTCTGACTGCACACCAGAAGATGGCACCAGATCTCATTATAGATGGTTGGGGAGCCATCATGTGGTTGCTGGGAATTGAACTCAGGTCCTCTGGAAGAGCAGCAGCCAGTGCTCTTAACCTCTGAGCCATCTCTGCAGCCCCCAAAAATGTTAGAATTTGATTCAAACTCTTGATTATAAATTTAGATTCTCTTCATTATTCATAGCAACACCAAGAAAATAGTAGACCTGAAAAGTTAGTCATTGTTTCAGTATTGTTCAGCTGTCACCTGTGGTTTTAGGTTTCAAAACTGTAGCATTGGCATCATTATCTGTTTCCTTCTTTTCTTGCTCCTAGAAGCTACTAATAGTTCTTCTGTTTCTGTTATGCACATTTTTTTGAAGATAAAATATGTGGGCTTTTATATCTTTCATTTCTTTATACCTTTTATTTCTTTCACTTAGTGTAATGTTTACCAAGTCTATAGAATAACAATTTGTTCTTAGGATTGAATAATACTGTGTTGTGTAGAATGTTCTTTCTCTTTTCTTCTTTTGAAGATAAGGTCTTTAAATGTAGAACCATGTGGCATGGAATCCACTATGTATCACATGCTAATCTCAATCTGACTTTTCATTTCACTCTCCCACATGGTAGGGTTATAGGCATGTATCCCGTGTCTCTTCCTTGCTTTGGATCTTTCACAGTGTGTTCATGCAGTAGATGATGGATATTTTCATTTCTACTGTTTGCTTCTAAGGACATACTAGTACTGTGGGCTTTTGTCTATAACAGTGGTTCTCTTCCTAATGCTGTGACCCATTAGAAGAGTTCCTCATGTTGTAGTGACTCCCACCATAAAATTATTTTTGTTGCTACTTTGTCACTAATTTTTCTACTATTATGAATTATAATGTAAATATCTTTTATGAAGGCTATCTAATATGACCTTGTGAAAGGGTCATTTGACCCCCAAAAGGGATTGTGATTCACAGATTGAGAACCACTGGTCTATAAGCTTGTGTGTGTGTGTAAGTTATTTCTTTAATATAAAATAAAAATAACTTCAATAGGGCAAAGCAAATGGACAGGAAGAAAAAAGGAGCCAAATGAACACATATAGATATGGATGCAAAAATCCCATAGAGATACAAATTTGGAAGCCATAATATATAAACAAAAGACAAGCTTTCCTTTTGTTTGTTTTTAAAGCCAAGACAAAAAAAAAAAAAAAAAAAAAAACTCCAAAAAATACCTTTTTTTTTTTTTTTTAAGATTTTGTTTTGTGTTGGCCACCTGCTGATGAGCATGGTACTTCCCTTCAGCATTCAATTTCTGAAGCTGTTGCCATCATAACACGGAAAGCAAACATTTTTTTTAAATATTTATTTATTTATTATGTATACAATATTCTGTCTGTGTATGTCTGCAGGCCAGAAGAGGGCACCAGACCTCATTACAGATGGTTGTGAGCCACCATGTGGTTGCTGGGAATTGAACTCAGGACCTTTGGAAGAGCAGGCAATGCTCTTAACCTCTGAGCCATCTCTCCAGCCCGAAAGCAAACATTTTTAAGAGTAAACTTTGTGTTGGGCATGTGGCTTGGTGGTATAGTACTTATCTGTATCATGTATAAGAAACCAACCTACCTACCTTCCTTCATTTATTTTGAAAGACAGATTCTCAGTTTATAGTCCTGGCTACCCTAGAGTTCACCATATGGACTAAGTTGGCCTCCCAACTCAGAGACCCACTTGCCTCTGCCTCCCAAGTGTCAGAATTAAAGCCGTGCGTCACTGTGCCAGGTTGTGAAGTCTTCTTATAACTGCAAGGACTATAACAACCAAAAAATTATAGTAAATACACACATCAATAGTAGTCATTATTTTCATTTTTAAGTTTTGTGTGCTGTATGTAATTATGCTGTATTTTTACATAATTTTTCATAGGGCAGGTTTCCTTGCATCACCAACATTACTGAGTGCTGAATGAGTAATGGCTTTGTGTTGTGAATGGCATTATTAAACAACAGGGATTTAGAAGAATCGTTTAACACAAAGTATAATCGTGCATTCCATAAGACTGATTTTGTCTGGCAGTCACAATAATAATATTCCAAGAAATTATGTAATGGAGCTGAAATTAGGCTAAATTAGGAATTCGCATAGAGAAATCCAACATTGACATTAATCAAAGTAAATGAATATTGCAAATAGTAAGTTTAATATGAAATACAGAGATAAACTCTCAGACTTAACTATTTTGCACAATCTAGAAAATAGCTGATTGTAATGTGTGGTTTGGTTGTCAGCATAATGATTTTGTTTTAGATGTTAAAATACTATTAGCAATGGCTTAAAAACGTGCTTACTACTGGGAGATAATAAAATATTGAAGAGATAGATGATATGAAATTGGTTGGGAATTACTACCATTAGCCTTTTTCCTAAGATGTTATAATTTGACAATTAGATAGCCAGAAAGAAATGAGGTGAGGGGTACTAGAGAGATGGCTTAGAGGTTAAGAACACTGGCTGCTCTTCCAGAGGTTCTGAGTTCAATTCCCAGCAACCGCATGATGGCTCACAACCATCTGTAATGAGATCTGATGCCCTCTTCTGGCCTGCAGACATATATACAGACAGAACACTGCACACACAATAAATAAATAAACAAACAAATAAATAAATAAATAAATAAATCTTTTTTTTGGCTGGAGAGATGGCTCAGAGGTTAAGAGCACTGGCTGTTCTTCCAGAGGTCCTGAGTTCAATTCCCAGCAACCACATGGTGGCTCACGACCATCTATAATGAGAACTGGTGCCCTATTCTATTGTGCATGCATGTATACAGGTAGAACACTGTATATATAATAAATAAATAAATTTAAAAAAATAAATTATTGTGGGGTGTGTACATCATTATATATACCCACATGAGGAATAACTTCATGATTTGAACATGCGTAAAAAAAACTATATCCTTATTACATGCTAAGGCCTTTGAGATCAAAGATTGTTTCTCTTTGATCTTTAGACAACCAGAACTTAGAGCCCAATATGTGACAAGTTCCCAAATATTTGAAGGAAATGCAGCTATAGTCTAAGTGATCCATGTTTCCAGGAATATGTTGCTTTTAGACCTCAGTATACTGAAATCCTGACCTTGAACCTAATTAAAACTATTTTACCAGTCAGAAGGAAAATATTACAATCTGCCAATGCGCCTACTGTATTAATCAAGCACATACACTATTACTGTAAGTGAAACATTAAAATATGAAGCATTCTGCTTTTCATTTACAACTTCCTATCACCTTCTCATGAAAGTAGACTGCATTTTCCGACCACCAGGAGCCTCAGCAGGCAGAAGCCCTTGTTTACAAGCCTAACATCTGCATTCATCCCTAGAAACCATGCAAGGTTGACTGAAGAGAACCTGACTCTGCAGACTGCTCCTATGGCTTCCACATGCCTGTGTGCAGCTCAAAGGATCAACACTTGCTTGTAATACAGCAGGCAGTGTAGGAAAGTGAGATTAGAGTTTGTAGTTTCTGTTTGTTTGTTTGTTTGTTTGTTTGTTTTTTTTGAGATAGGGTCTCCCTGTATAGCCCAATCTATCTGTAGAACAGGCTGGCATCAAACTAAGAGAAGAGATCTACTTGCCTCTGCCGCCTAAGTACTGGGATTAAAGGTTTGTGCCACCACACCCAACCAACCATTCTTTAATTTCTTAAATGGTTGAGTCTAATTGAATTTGACTTTTAAGCTTACTAGGAAAATTAAATAATTTATGTAAGTTGGTGTCTGTAATGTATATATTTAATAAATATTAGTTATAATTAGCTTGCCTCCACTATATTTTTTATAAAGTAACTTCAGGGGAAGAACCAAGAGATTTTTATATTTAAAAGGAAACATAATATTTACTTGACAGATATGTTAAGCACTTACTTGAGGAACACTGGAGATGAGAGGCTTCTTGGCAGAGAGTATACATATTTAAAATCCTAATCATGATTGTTTCTTAAAGAGGAAAGCAAAGAGTAAATCTAGTAACCTGTAGCATGAGTAGGAATTAGGAAAGCAGTGATTGGCAATAAACTACATGAGGTAAAATTAACTGAATTTAAAAACTTAATGAGGTAGAAAAGATCTTTTGAACAGCAGAAATAAGGCCAGTGAGGAAACGAAAAGGAGACAGGAATGGCATGAAAGCAGTCTAGAGAAAGTAGGAAGGGGTGCCTGGACTTCTGTGAGCTTCATAAAGGGTTTCTAATTTGATCCTGTGTTCAACAAGGTCCTTGTGCTTGGGCTATGTGATAGGTGAGGAGGGATGAGAAGAATATTCTAACGGATTTTTCCTCCCTCCCTCCCTTTATTTTTTTTAGTTCAGAAGGTCTCTGTAGACTTTATAAAAGAAACCATTATTGATTTTTTTTTTTAGTTAATCAGAAAAAATGAAACTCCCCCCCCCCTTTTTTTTGTCAGTTCCTATAACTTTCTTGCTTTTAAAACTACATGATTCTTTATTTTGTTGGTCACGGCATGTATGTCACGTGCATATGTACATATATACATGCAGAACATCCATAAACAAAACAAATTTTAAAAATTTAAATTAAAAACATAACAGCCTGTTCACTTAAATCAATTCTAGTCACTATGGAAATGAAGACTGAAACATTACATATTGACTATAGTGTTGGTGAAAAAGTAGAGGAATTAGGTTCCTCACATACCATTGGTGGGAATGTAAAATACAACGACCACCTGGAAAAAAGAGTTCAGCAGTTTCAGGACAAGTCAAATACATATATCTACCACTGGACAAGCTCACTTTTTTGATCAATCGTTTGTACATTTGATGATGCTGGAGATTGCTGTAAAACTTAATTCACTTTTAGGGAGAAAAGAGAACAGGCACTAAGTGCATAGTTTTTTCTTAAGCCAGAAATAGATTTGTATAAGAAATAATTTGGCCTTTGTCTGGGGAACAGATTGAATTGTGGGAATAAATAGAATCAAGCAAGATTGACAATTAATAGTGTGGATTTTTATATAGTTTCCGCAGTGTCTTTTTACTTGTGTAAAAATTTCCTCACTGAATCATCACATTCTGCAGGATAGATGACTTATTTTAGGATCAGGAAACTGATGCTCTTTTTTTGGAGAACTGTCCCAAAATTGCAATGCTTTATCCTCTAACTTTATCCTACTGCCTCTTAAGTATGAAATGAGTTCAGATTTCCTGCTTTTTCTTTCTTTTGTATACAGTGATGCACTTTGCTCAGGCTGGATGCTGATGTAACAACTGGTCGGAGCTTAAAAATAGGTTTTGAGATGTATTTATCCTTGTATGAATGATTCTGATGGGACACTAAAGAAGGGGAGAATTAGGACAAGGGTACTCCAGCAACTTAGAGAAAAGAAAGTGAACTGTTAGTATATGTTAGAACTTTTTTTTTTTATTGGTTTTTTGAGACAGAGTTTCTCTGTGGTTTGGAGCCTGTCCTGGAACTAGCTCTTGTAGACCAGGCTGGTCTTGAATTCACAGAGATCTGCCTGCCTCTGCCTCCCGAGTGCTGGGATTAAAGGCGTGTCTTAGCAGCTGGGTATCTGTTTTATAATATAAATTACAGTTTCAGTAACATAAACTTCATACTGTGTTTGTTCTCAGGAGAGCCTAAGGAAGCAGCAGTTAGGTTGAACTTGATATTGCATAATCTGTTTTATTAAAGTACAAACAGTGACATTAATTTATTCATCCTCAGTTTAATCAAAGCAAATTTATTTTTATCTCTTTTTAGTTGGAAGATGCTGGCTCAAGTAGTTTAGATAATCTACTGAGTAGATATATCTCAGGCAGTCATCTACCCCCACAGCCTACAAGTACCATGAATCCTTCCCCAGGACCCTCTGCTTTATCACCCGGATCTTCAGGTAAAACAAACAGGGATATTGCTTCATTGCTCTTAACACCTTCAGGTAGGGGTGGAGGAGTGAAGGCTGCCTCCTGGTATCTGTATTAGGTAAAAAACAGCAGCAAAAGGGAGGTGTGTGTGGAGGTACATCATATGTATATACACTTTACACACATCATGTGGTACAGAGGATGAAAAAGAAATCCTCTTAAGGAATTGGCTCTCCTGATTATTTTTCTGCGCATTGGCAAGCCCAAAATCTGTAGGGCATTTTCTCAAGCTAGAGATTCAGGAAATAGTTACTTTACAGTCTAGTGTACAGTATAAAACTCAGAAGTGGACTGAAAGGAAGGAATAGTTCCAACTTTTCAAGGGCTTCAACTGGTTAAATGAGGATCACTTGGATTATGATGGATAGTTTGCTCTTCTCAAAGTTTGTTGACTTTTCTTGGTTCGTTTTTCAAATACGCATGCATATATGGTGGGTTTTACTTAATTTTGTTGTTGTTTGCTTTTTGTTTTGCAAGACAGGGTTTCCTTGTGTAATAGTCCTAGATGTCCTGGGACTCGCTCTTGTAGAACAGGCTGACCTCAGACTCATAGAGATCTGCCTGTCTCTGCCTCCCCAGTGCTTGGGAATAAAGGTATACACCACTACTCCCTGGCTGAGGTAAAGATTTTTACATAAGGTATATTAACATTTTTTTTGAATTATATCGTTGAGTTTTAGTGAGTTTTTTTTTCAGGATGTTGAAAAGGGATGAATGCCTGAATGGTGTGTGTGTCACTGCACTGTCAGTGCTCAGACGGAGGCAGTGGACAGCTGAGGCTGTAGAATGAAACACTGTCTCAGTTTTTTAAAAGAGTAAAGGACTATATATAGTCTATTTTGTGATGTGAAGAAATGATAACTTTCTCAATCTACTACTTCTTGCTTTTGGGCAATACTTATAAGATACTGAGGTGAGTCTGGATTCAGCTGGAAGAAGCTGGTCGGTGTCTGCTAATCATATTTGCCATCTCTGACTTTACAGCTGTCTGTGATTTACAAGAGTCTCTGAGTCAGACTGTATTGTCTGAGTGTTCTGATCCTCAATCTGACTTTTGTTTTTTAGGCTTACCCAACTCTCACACACCCGTGAGACCCCCTAGTACATCTAGCACCGGCAGTCGCGGCAGGTGAGTTTTTTGTTGTTGTTGTTGTTGTTTTTTATGGTATTATGTTACTTACAACTTTTTTCTTAAGAAAAATTTCAAATGTAGTTAATAAAAGTAAACTCATTTTTATATACTCAGTTTCAACAGTCAGTACATTTATTATACCCAGTCTTCTTTCCTTTGTACTCTTTTCCATTCCCTTTTCTGGTTTATTTGAAACAAAACTCAGAAATTATGTCATTTTACTTGTGGACTATTCAGTATTGTTTAGGTCCAGTTGATTAAGTTACCAATTTATCCACATAAGTGCATTATTTAAAGCAAGTATTTCTTTGAACCACATTTAAATAAATCCTATGCACTGTCATCAGCAGATTGGTTTGTATAGGTTTAATTTTTTTTCAGATGTAGAATTTTCTCTTGTAGATTTCTAATTCTCTCATTGTTTTTAATTTGCTTCCCTTTTTGTCAATATGGGCAGTATAGAGCATAGGTTTGCAGGTGTGGGGGCTTGTTGGAGAGGTAACTCTGAATTTAAGAGCCATTTGACTCTTACATCCATGTCAGGTGACTCCAGCTCTAGCCAGATCTACCACTTCTAGCTTTTGAAGGCACCTAAGTCGTGTGTATGTGTGCACACATACACACAGTTGCACACACACTTAAAAATAAGCCTTAGAAATAAGAAATTTAATAGAGCATGTTTAATTAGGAAGCAAGAATACTTCATTTGTAGTATTGTGTGCTTCCATTGGGAGCATTTTTTTATTTTATTTTATTTATTTATTTATTTTTTGTATGTGTGGTTTGAGTTCATTTGGGCAGTATATGTGTGTGGAGGCCAGAGGTCATGTAAGGTGTCTTGTTAACGTCTTCACCTTACATTTTGAGACAATCACTGGACCTGGAGCTCAGATTTGGTTACTGGCTGACCAATGAGCTCTTCAAATTTTCCTGGTATGTGTGTGGAGGGGCGTGTTTATGGGAATAACTTCTTCTGCCATGTGGGTTCTGGAGATAAAATTGAGGTTGTTGAGCTCTGTGTCAAGTATCTTTACTGGTTGAAAAGTATTATTTTGATAATTACTGCTTTAGAATGCTTCTATAAAGAAACCTTGTCAGTTATTGAATTAAGGGGCAGCAAGATAAATTTCCTTTATTGACTTTTGTAATGAATTGATTTCCAGGTTCCTTCAGTAGTGTTCCAGGAGTTTGACTATTGTACTTTTATGAATTTACTTATTCTCTTAATGTTTTTCATGGTATTAAGAGCATTCATTACTTCTAAACTGTTCGTTTTTTTTTTTTTTTCTTCAGCCTTTGAATAGAGCCAAGAAATAGGTTTTTAAGATTAAACAGTGAATACATTGTAGAAGGAGCAGCAGGCTGCCTTCCTGCCACCCGGCCCCGAAATAACAACACACAAATTGTATTCTTTTAAACACTGCCTGGCCCATTATATCTAGCTTCTTCTTGGCTAACTCTCATATCTTGCTTAACCCATATTTAATAATCTGTGTAGCACCAGTCTTACCAGGAAAGATTCAGCATGTCTGACCTGGTGGCTTGATTCATCACGTCTGCCCCAGAGAGGAGCGGCATGGCGTCTGCCTCACTTCCTCTTTCTCCCAGCATTCTGTTCTGTTTACTCCACCCACCTATGTTCTAACCTATCAGGCCAAGCAGTTTTATTATTAACCAATGACCTTCCTCCATCAATACATTCTTTTCGCTGTTTTGTACTTTGTTTAATTTAATACAATATGAAGTTTTAACTAAGATATTAGAGAATTGGGGTTTTATATGTGTGTCTATTCTGAAAGCTGTTCCTATTAAACTACTTGGTTGACTTTTTAGTACTTTGAATAACCAGTGCTTTCAGAAGAAAGATAAACAGTGAAAACTTCACTCTGAGTAGCTACACTAGTCCCTTTTTTTTTTTTTTGGATTTTCGAGACAGGGTTTCTCCGTAGCTTTTTGGTTCCTGTCCTGGAACTAGCTCTTGTAGACCAGGTTGGTCTCAAACTCACCAGAGATCCGCCTGCCTCTGCCTCCCGAGTGCTGGGATTAAAGGTGTGTGCCACCACCGCCCGGCTTTAGTCTTTTCTTTTTTAATTTAATTTAGTTTTATGTGCATTGATGTTTTGCCTGCATGTATGTCTGTTTGAGGGTATTGGATTATTTGGGATTGGAGTTATAGACAGTTGTGGCTGCTGCGAATTGAACCTGGTCCTCTGGAAGAGAAGCCAGTTCGTTAACTGCTGAACCATCTCTACAGCCCCTAGCTATACTAGTCTTATTTACTTTGCTCAGTGGTGAATTGTTTTTGTTGATTGTGCATTTTATGTAAAACCTTTAACCACATATCTGTATTCTCCACTTTCATTTATATTGATTCTAGTAAGCTTGTACCAGGTTGTTTACTATTTATTGTTCTGTTCTTCCAGTCATCCCCAAAAATCTGAAATAATCTTTGTGAGGCTTTCTTTACCGCTTGTGCTGATGTTGTATTCTTTAGATGTTTGAGATGCTAGTGTTGGAACTATTTCTATAAAGAGGCACAATCATTGATGTTTTATGCTACAGGTTGAGTATCCCTAACACGGAATTTGAAATACTCCCAAAATGCAAGCACTAGCTTGATGCTCCAAGTAGAAAATTCCACAGCTAATCTCACATTACAATAGGTTGCAATCAAGTTGCTGAATATACTTAAAATATTGTATGAAACTACTTTCAGGTTGTATATGTAAGAACCATAAATGGATTTCATATTTATACTTGAGTCATATCCCAACTCATCCCACTCTGTATTTGTAAATATTTCAGAGTTGGAAAACATGTCTCAAAACTCTAATCTCAGGTGTTTTAGATATGGATACTCAACTTGTAGTGGCATGGAAGTGTAATCACTTACTAGGATCCTTAAATGGATTTCGGATCATAAAATGTACTTTTAAGGTCTGGGCTTATGTCTTTTACAATTCCTTTTTAAGGTAATTGTCTACTATCTTTAATAATAGTACTTTCCTTTTATATATGCTTTACGATCAAATGTGGCTTTTGTTTCTTATTAGCTGTGGATCTTCAGGAAGAACTGCTGAGAAAAGTCATAGTTTCAAATCTGATCAGGTGAAGGTGAAGCAAGAACCTGGGACTGAAGAAGAGATCTGCAGCTTTTCAGGAGCTGTGAAACAAGAGAAGACAGAGGATGGCAGGAGGAGTGCCTGTATGGTAAGCTCCCCTAGGCTCTAAAAAGATGTAGGGGGTCACATTGGTTATCTTCCGTCGTACTAGGCATATCTATTTGTCTTTAAATTCTTACGTCTGACACAAGCTAAGCATCTCTTTTTCTCTTTCTGCTCTTAAGAGTCAGCTATAATTAATCAGAAAAGACTTGATTGCATTAAGTATCACTTGATATTATCTTGAAGTTTATATTTATGCTAATGCCATGATGCTAAATTATGTTCTAATAATGGTTTCCTTTTACACATAGGATCTTAAGGCCACAAGAGAACCTTAACTGTGGTCTGTAACCTAGGAGCTCAGCACTAAGATAGTTAATATAAAAGATTGTTGATCAAAGTCTTTGTGATAGATTTTTTTTTGTCTCATAGTAACCATTCTAAAGTTTCTTAGATGAAATAGTTTATGCAGTTTATAAAATAGTGGAGGAAAGTTCAAACCTATCTTCATTTATTTCACGCTTTATTATTCTTCTTGCCCAGGCTTTTTACTTTTCTATCTGTTAATGACACATAGGAATCTCAATGTATTATGTTCACTGTGATGTATGGATTAAAAAGCTACAACCTTAGTTAGATGTCTATAACAATGTCATCATCTTCTCAGCTAAAACTCTTTAATTTAGAAAGTTCCCAAATGATATATTAATACTCACTGATAAAGCTTCCTAGATTCTCCCCATGTTATTGTCCTTAACTCCAGGTAATCAGCATTCTTTTCCATGACATCAACTTCTCCTTTATTCCACATGTAAGTGACTGTCTCTGTTCACTCATCTCCTTCCTGCTGTCATAATGGTCAGGATTTTATTCCAGTGTACAGATGTGCATGACTTTCATCCACTCAGCCACGATTCACTGTAGATTTCTCTGATTCTTAGCCACTGTGAGTATGATAACGTATGTATGGCAGTGCAGATGCTTCCTCAAAATATGAATATGATTGCTAGGTCACATAGCCATATAGTCGTTGATTTCTACTTCAGAGAGTTCCTCATGGCAGATAGCGATATTTTTCACTACTTTTCAGATGTTCTATAATTTTTATTAATTTTGAATATTTTGATAGAGTCTGGGAAATTTTCTATATCTATATAAGATCGTGTCACCTGTAAATAGTGACATTATGAATTCTATTCTACTTTGCACGTCTTTTGACTAATTGTCATGGCTAAGAATTCCAGAAGTATGTTGACTTAAGGTAGTTGAAGTGGGGGGCTGGAGAGATGGCTCAGAGGTTAAGAGCATTGCCTGCTCTTCCAAAGGTCCTGAGTTCAATTCCCAGCAACCACATGGTGGCTCACAACCATCTGTAATGGGATCTGGTGCCCTCTTCTGGCCTGCAGTCATACACACAGATAGAATATTATATACATAATAAAGAAATAAATATTTTTAAAAAAAGGTAGTTGAAGTGAACATTTCTTTATTTTTTCTCTTTTAGGAGCAAGCTTTAAGCTTTTCCCCATGAAACATACAGCCTATTAGATTATCAGGAATTTCTTTTGTTTTGTTGGAATGCGTTTCTGCTATACTTTACTTGCTCACTACTTTCTGTTCATCATGCGATATTGAACTTTATTTTTTTGATGTTTTAAAGGTGAATCTATGGACTTTATGTTCGTTACTTTAACAGGGAGTATCCTGTTTATTGAGTTGTATATTAGACAATCTTTGCCTTCCTGTGATGAATCCTAACTGAAGATTCTCAAAGGCATTGTTAAGTTCAGTTTGCAGTATTTTATTTGAGGATTTTTACATATGCTCACCATGGTTTTCCTCCTTTTGTTGACACTGAGTTTTGTTTTCAGGGTTATGCTGTCATTTTGAGAGTGTTTGAAAGATCATTTCCTTTTCTACTTTTTGGTAACTTGAGCATAATTAGTATTATTTCTGTATTTGCTCACTTGAACCACATAGTGGAGCCATCTGGTGCCAGGCTTTTTTTTTTCTTTTGTGGGTACACACACACACACACACACACACACACACACACACTCTCTCTCTCTATGATAATAGCTTAATAAATTTAGAGATGCTATGGAACAATCTTTGTACAGTGTAAATATGTATTGGTCTCAATGTTGGTAAAAAGCTGATTGGCTAGTAGCTAGGTAGGATTTTTGGAGCAGAGAGACTGCTGGGAAGGAGGGTGGGGTTGGGAATGTCATCAGGAGATGCAGCGGGAGGAAGACATACTGGAGGATAGGTAAAGCTACAATTCACATGACATAAATTAATAGAAATGGGTTAATTTAAGTTGTAAGAGCTAGTTAGTAATAACCCTGAGCTATTGGTCAAGCATTTATAATTTTAAAAAGGAAAAAAAAAGTGCCCCCACTGAAGAGTGTGGTCTGGTAAAAGATCTATTTTACATTGCCATAATCTTGCATTAATTGAATAATATGTGTGCCAAAGAAAAGTATAAAATACTTCTCAAATGCTATATAACTGATTTTGATTAGTAAATTGTAATAAGCTCTCTGTAAGAAAAAGTATGATTGTTATATAATTTCTCAATCACTGGGCTGGAGAGGTGGCTCAGAAGTTTAGAACATTGCCTGCTCTTCCAAAGGTCCTGAGTTCAATTCCCAGCAACCACATGGTGGCTCACAACCATCTGTAATGAGGTCTGGTGCCTTCTTCTGGCCTGTAGGCATATACACAGACAGAATATTGTATACATAATAAATAAATAAAATATTTTAAAAAATTTTCTCAATCACTGTGTATAATGGTTAAATTTCCAAATTATCTGAGTGAACCAATATTAGAGGGACCAAACCCTGAAAAATCATGTTAGCATATGTCAGCAATTTTTTTAATATTCTTTTGTTTCACTCATGTGATTTCCAGAATAATTTTTATGTATGTATTTTAATTTAACCTTAATGTATATACATATGTGCTGTATTACAAGTAAGGATTAAATGATTTTCTAAAAACATTTGTCTTTGTTTTCTCGTAGTTGAGCAGTCCTGAGAGTAGTTTGACACCACCTCTTTCAACTAACCTCCATCTAGAGAGTGAGCTGGATACATTAGCAGGCCTGGAGAACCATGTGAAAACAGAACCTACAGATACGAATGAAAGCTGCAGACAGTCAGGACTCAGTAGCCTGGTCAATGGAAAGTCTCCAGTGCGAAACCTCATGCACAGGTCGGCAAGGATTGGAGGAGATGGCAATAGCAAAGATGATGACCCGAATGAAGACTGGTGCGCGGTCTGCCAGAATGGAGGGGATCTGTTATGCTGTGAAAAATGTCCGAAGGTCTTTCATCTTACTTGTCACGTTCCAACACTTCTCAGCTTTCCAAGGTACCAGGGAAAGAATTGATTTGTAATCCTTTTATTCTCACATTTAAAAGTAAGTCTAGCGGAAAGTTGTTAGGGCTTTTCTCATAAAAACCCATTTTAAAGATCGAACTTTTTCACTGCAAAAACCGGCAGATAATGAGGCTGAGAATGTGTAGCCCCGTGGTGGAGCATGTGCCTAGTATACATAAGACCCCCTGGGTTCAATCTCAAGCATTAAGATGGGGGAAAATAGCTAAACAGTGCCAGGATAGTTTTTTGGTTGCTCTTGGTTCTGGTTTTTTGTTTTGTTTTGTTTTGTTTTATTCTATTACGTACCTAAATTTTATCAGGTGTGATTTGGTAATGATCTAATAAAGAAGGTGGTTTTTAAAAATTATTACATTTATGTGTATGTCTGTACACACGTGCATATATACACACGTGTACACGGATGTTGTGGAACATGTATGGGGGTCAGAGAACAACTTACAGAAGTCAGTCTTTCCACTGTATGGGTTCTGGGGAATTGAACTAATCATCAAGCTTGGTGGCAAAGACCCTTAGGTTCTAAGCCATCTTACCAGTTCCCCCTCCCTCTCTCCCCCTCTCCCTTTTCCTCTCCCTCTCCCCCTCTCCTGTCCTGGAACTTACTGTTAAGCCAGGCTGGCCTTGAACTCACAGGGCTCTACCTCTTCTGTCTCCCTGATGCTGGGATTAAGCTAAGATTCTGCCAGTTTTCAAAGGCAGACATTTAGGGAGGAATATAAACTATTGACATAGATTCTATATAAAACTCCTAGTATTAGGATTTGTTTATCTACTTATATTAATATACCTCTATTTATCTCTGTATTTATTTATATATATACAGGGAATAAAGCATATGAACAAATAATTTGTGAAATTTATAATTTAATAGAAATCCTGATTTTAAAAACTGTACTTTATTTGAGTTAAAAGTTACAGGAATATATATGTTTGTGCGTACCTGTATGTGTTTGTATATCCAGGTTTTTGAGTGGCCCTGAAAAAGACTGTTCGTTATCTGTGTGTGTTTAATACACTATGTTACTTATAGTGTATTAATTTATAGTATATTTATGTGTATTTAGAATATTTTAAAACACATACTCTATACAGTTTCTTTGTATGTATGCCGTTGTATGGGGAGGTGCATGTACAGGCCAGAGGACAGCTTTGGGTGTTGTTTCTTCTTGGCTATTTGACCTACTCAAAAAGCTAGGCTTGCTAGCCAGTATGCTTCAGGGTTCCTCCATTCCTGTCCCCCTGTGATGGGAGTTACAGGTGCCAACTAGGTCTTTGTGCTTGCAAGAAAGTAATTCTTCCTGTCCCAGAATTAGAACTATCAGGTATTTTTATGTAGGAACTGATCATTGACTTTGTGACATGAACAGACTAGTGTTTAATGTTTAATTTTCTAGATTTCCAGAAGGAAATCAATTGATTTGTCATTGGGAGAAGTTTTTGGAGATTTTATTGTACAAGTTAAGAGATTTAACAAATACATAAACTTCTATTCTCTACAAAATTGGAAATTAGGGAAACTAGAGGCTTACAGCTAAGGATTTATCTTCTCCAGAGTAGACTTTGTTGTGATTCGTGGAGTAATTGTCCTTTTCCTTGTTCAGTGGGGACTGGATATGCACGTTTTGCAGAGATATTGGGAAGCCAGAAGTTGAATACGATTGTGATAATATGCAACACAGTAAGAAGGGGAAAACCGCACAGGGCTTAAGTCCTGTGGACCAAAGGGTAAGTGTCGAAGCTGACTTGTTAATAGTGATTTTGTGGTTGCTAGCCTATGTATGTAGGTGTCCCCTCTCTCTCCCATGCAGTGTACAGTCCCTACCCTTGGGTACTGTGCACATTACCTGGTATGTTTTGTATCATTTGGTGTACCAAGATTTTTTTTAAATGTAGCAGTCTGTGACTATACTGCCCTGGCTGGGCTTGAATTTGCAATAGCTCTCCTTTGTGAGTGCTCAGGTTACAGGTTTATACCATCAGGTCAGACTTCATACTTAGTATATTTCAACTAAGATCCTGATTTCTGATCCTTTTCCTCCAAAATGATAGCAAATACCAGGCGAATAATTCCTTTCTCAGTGTTCCCAGTCACTAAATGGGAATACTGTTCACCTCTATTGTTGGGACCAGAAGCCTGTGAGATAAAAAGTCAAACGTGATTATAATGCCATTTTGCTTAGCTCCCCACTATTACCACCCTAACATAACACATTCATAATTTCTTACGTGGACTGTAGCACAGATAATAAAAAGCAAAGAGACAGATGTTGGGGTTCAAGCTAAAAGATGAGAGAAGCAAAGCAGCCAACCACTAAAAAGCTCTTTTCTCTGCTAACTCTTCAGACTGAAGAGAGACAGTTGCTGTCTCATCCCGTCTTTATTCTTCTCTAGTGCTGTTATTAAAAGCGTGCACTATACTGCTCGGCCTCTATGAGTGCAGTGTGGCTGCTGGGATTAAAGGTGTGTGCCACCACTGTATGAAACTAGTAGACCAGCTTTTTACTCTGATCTTCAGGCAAGCTTTATTTGTTAGATCATAAACAAAATATCACTATATTTTACCTTTTTTGTTGGGGAACAGATGTAGCATGAATAATAAAACCCAGAGACAGATATTGGGGTTCAAGCTGAAAGATCTGAGAAGCCAAGCCATTAACCACCAGAGAGCTCTTACCTCAATGAAATCTTCAGACTGAAGAGAGAGAGTTGTGATAATTTTGTGATAATTTCCTTGTTTCTTCTTCTTGCCCTTTTAATATGTTTTTCTGTATTTAAGTAATGTTCTTTTTCTTTTTTTAAAAAGTAAATTTATCACTTCGTTGTTTTATTATTCTTTAATAGCTTCCCATGTTAAAAATGAAACTCAAAGTCTTTTCATTCAAATTTTTGAATCTCAGCCTGATTTCTATTGACCAAATACCTCTTATGTAGTTCTGTGGTCATCACAAATTTGGCTCTAATCTAATACTTGAATATCTAATACTTAGAAAATCCTCTGTGAAGAGAAGGAATGTGTTTGGAATATAGAAACTAATGCTAGACAAAGTTTAAGTAAGTATAAAACTACTAATATAACACATTTTAGTATAATAGTTTATCTTATAAATCTTGTAAGTCAGCAGAGGTAAGAGAGTGGTCACAAATTTTAGGTCAAGTTTGGCCTACATAGAAGTTCTAAACCAGCCAGAGCTACATAGTAAAACTGTTTCTCAAAAAGGATAAAAGAATGAATGAAAAGAGAAGATTTTTAAAAATTGGATTGCAGAGAGTTTTTGAACTGAGTGGAATCTTTGACAAACAGGAATTCTTGTTTTTGCCTGCCTTAGAGAATTGCACTAGGTACCAATGGTGAACATTTTTACTCATTTGCTGTAAGTTTTTATGACTCATATTTCTGTAAATATGAATAATAGATAAATTGCCTTAGTTCTATTAAGGATATACTTAATTAAAGTAGAATAGAACATAGTTTCAAAATTTAATGGAAAGCAAAATTATTGTGATCTATTATATAGAAGGCACTGTTCAGTTTGTTGTAATACTTTGTAGCTATATTCTCCAAAATATCTTACCAGACCCCCCAAAAAAATTGTCTCTTTTTTTCTTTTGGGGATCAGAAATGTGAACGTCTCCTACTTTACCTCTATTGTCATGAATTAAGTATTGAATTCCAGGAGCCTGTTCCTGTTTCGGTGAGTTGCATGCTTAGTATTATCCTGGTAAAGAAATCTAACACAGAGTATGGGCTGTGGCTTAGACAGATCTTCTTCAGTAAGTTGCTTAACTACTCTGTGACTAAATAGCTTCTGATAACTTCTCTAACTTTTAGAACTCAATTGTTAAGTTATGTATATTAGTAGGTCATAATATGATGTTTTGATCTACATACAAGTTGAAAGAGTTAATCACATTAACACACCCATCATTACCTTTTTTGTGATGAGAATGGAATGTCAAAACTCCTTTAAAGAATTTTTTTTTAAATATTTATTTTTGTATACAGTATTCTGTCTGTGTGTATAGCTGCAGGCCAGAAGAGGGCACCAGACCCCATTACAGATGGTTGTGAGCCACCATGTGGTTGCTGGGAATTGAACTCAGGACCTTTGGAAGAGCAGGCAATGCTCTTAACCTCTGAGCCATCCCTTCAGCCCCTCCTTTAAAGAATTTTGAACTATGCAGTGTATCATTAATGTGACTTACATGTAAGTCAGGCAGTAGATCAATAGAACTTTTACATCAGCATAACTGAAGTTTTCTGTTCTTTGGGCAATGTCTTCTTTTCTTTTCTTGTCTTTCATTCTAGACTCCAATCACCTTTTTCCTTTTTTGTGGTGGTAGGGGGGGGATGGGGACGGGGGACATTGAAACTGGCTGTCCTGGAATTTGTAGAGGTCTTTCTCTGCCCTCCTCCCCACTGCTGGGATTAAATATTTTGTAAACACCTTTTTAAAAAATAAAACAAATATTTTAAAAATTAAAAAATTACTATTTTGTTAAATTTATTTTTATGTATATGGATGTTTTGTCTGCATGTATATTTGTACAGTATGTGCATGCCTGGTGCTTGGGGAAACCAGAAGAGGGCATTGGATCCCTTAGGACTATAGTTAGCAACAGTTACGAGCTGTTGTGTTCCTGGGAATGGAACTCAGGTCCTCTGGAAGAGTAACCAGTGTTCTTAACTCCTGAGCCATCTCTCCAGGTCCTAAAATACTGTTTTTACAATTTAAAAAAATTATGTATATGAGATCCACTGGGCCTCTGCCTCTGGAGTGCTGGGATTAAAGATGTGTGCCACTATTATTCTTAACCTTATTGAAATATTTAGAAGATTATATAAGGCAATCAGTATAAAATGTTTATATAAATAGTATATAACATTGCTAACGATCTATTGTTTAATTAATTAATATATATATATGTGTGTGTGTGTGTGTGTGTGTGTGTATTGGTTTGGGAAATTGAATCTAGATTTCGTGTTAGGCAAGTTTTCCACTACTGAGCTATGTCCTCATTCAAAAATTAGAACCTTATTAGAGCTAAATGGCTATAACTTTTCATTTGTTAAAATTACAGTTTGTTAGATGGGTTTATTTGTTGATAGTGCTTGGGTAGCTAGTACTACCCAAGGGTAGGAAGATAACAATTTTGAGGCCAGCCTGGCCTTATGCAAGACACTTTACCCTGTCCTTTAAAACAATAAAAATAAAAAACATTGTGTGTATGTTGCTCTGATAGAAACTTTTTTATTTCTACATTCTCCTTTTAAGGTTGACATTAGGGAAATAATTTTGATGAGAAGAACATTGAACCGGAGGCAGAGAGCTTGTTCTTTTAGTTCCTTCCTCTCCTCCTCTTCTATTTTTCTTTTCTTTACAGGATCCTGCCTCTAACTCTAGAGAGTTAGGATTACAAGTGTGAACTACCACATTCCATGTCAGCTAACTTTATAACTGAGAACACAATTTTCTGCCTTTCGTTTCTAATTATATAATAGAAATACTATTTTATTTATGGGTCTATGTCTGCTATGTTCCAGTGTTGCTCATAGAGAAAATAAATATATAAATGTTAGTTGAATTAAAGTGTATGGATGAATTTTTCGCAGTGACTTTGCCATTTGAAAGTCCTCTTGATGCAAATAGTTAAGATTGAGAAAAGACACCTACAGTATTTTGCATGTTAATGGTTTTGTGTTGATTCTACTGGAGACTTGGAATAAAGACTTTAAAATACTACAATTTAGAAAACAGGCTAGAGATTCTCACTGCCTTGTTAGCTACTTGTTGTTGAATGTTACCATGGTAACAGACTATTAAATAGTAGTTGACCTGTTGACTAAATAGGCTAAGAAATGAATTTTAAAAGCACAAAAGATTTAACAAATGGAAAGTGTCTTGTACAGGTACTAATCATTAATTCTAGAAAGCCCATTTATTTTAAGTTTAGGGATTTCACAATAGAAAATAATTCTCTAGTCTTTTCATGACGTATTCAGATAGCTTTTAGCTCAGTATGGCACTGCTACCAATGTGGTAGATGCTCCGGAGACTGAGGCAGAGGATCTTCAATTTGAGGCCAGCATGAACTAACTGCATAGTAGACTGTCTCAAAACAGTAGCCGAAACCCTAAAGCAGTCTTACAGTGTACACGTATATCTCATGGGTAGAAAACTTGCTACCAAAGGTGGAGTCAGAACACTAAATGCAAACCTTCCTTCAGTGTTCCTGAAGTTATTTAAGTGGTGAGGATGTCTTCTGCAACACTGTGCTCTAAACCACAACATTAATATACTTTAATTTTCGTTCTCCTTTAAAAATTTTAAATAAGTACCTAATGACTAAGTTTTGAAGGAGGCAGTTTCTGCTAGTTGCTTTGTCTCATTCATATTTATTAATGATAGGAATTTTGGAACTTCCAGTAGCCATGGAAACCAGCCCATATTTTACAGTAAGATTTGGTATTCAATATTCGATTGGGTAGAAAACTTGAAATATATTTGCTGTACCTCAAATATAATCAATATGCTGTACGTTTTCAAATTAAATAGTTTGATATTTTGGAGAATTCTGACCTGCCACGATTTATTTTATAGATACCAAACTACTATAAAATTATAAAGAAACCAATGGATTTATCGACGGTGAAAAAGAAGCTTCAGAAAAAACATTCCCAGCACTACCAAATCCCAGATGATTTTGTGGCCGATGTCCGTTTGATCTTCAAGAACTGTGCAAGGTTTAATGAAGTATGTTAGCTTCCAACTTATAGAGTATTTATTGGCTTGTTTACCTTTGCCTGGTTATTTGGTTTTTTGAGATTTTTTTTCCTGATGAAAGAATATCCTGTTTTGTTTTTTTGTTTCTTGTTTTTATTTCTTGTTTTTACTTTTTTTTTACTTTATGAAAAAGAAAGCTTCATTCTATAAGAGTGAAATTTGATTTTATTTTCCGCTCCAGAGAAGAAAGTTTATTATTTATAATTTGGAGTGTATTCTTAAATATGAGACACTAAGAGTGTTCTTGAATATCCTTTCCTAAGGGAATTGTGGTTAAATATAGAATGTAGTCTGAAGTAATTTGGTGGGATATGATTATGTATACCCACATTTGGGACACTTATGTGAAACCTAACAGTGCCCATGTTTAGTTCCATCACTGGCCACATAAACAGAGTGTTAAGACTAAACTGAATACCCATTGAATAATCGCTCCAATATGTAATCATGAGGATTTGGTTTCTGCAATGAGACTTTCGTTAACTTTATCTATTTCTTGGAAGCTAAAGATATCCATACCTTAAGAACAGAAATGTAACAGATAATCTCAGTCAAGGGCATACTTTTTGTTGTCTTTGGAATAAAGTCAAGTTTGCTATTGTTATAGAGGATTTTCATTATAGGAGAAGAAAATGGTATTAGATGAGAATCCAATTCTACTGACAGCTGTCTCTAGAGGCATCCAGGCGGTGCCTTAATACTCAAGCCAAAGTCCCTATAATTTTTGCCTCAGAATAAATCAGTAAAATCTTACTTCATATTATAAGCTATAAAATCTAGATTTTTTGTCTTTTTTTAAAAATAGGTTATTTTGAAATGGATATATTATTGTATACTATCATTGACAAAAAGACACATTCTGCTTATTTTATTAAGAGTTAATTTGTAGGCCAGGCATGGTGGCACACACCATAATTCTAGCACTTGGGGAGGCAGAGGCAGGCCGATATATGCTAAGTTCTAGGCCAACCTGGCCTATATAGAGAGCAGTTCCAGGACAGCCAGGGCTGTGTAGGGAGACCCTGTCTCAAAACAAAACAAAAAGTTTGTGATAATGTATTGCCATAAAGATAAAATTCTGATTATCCTGACAAAAAAATTAATTTGTGATAATGTATTACCATAAAGATAAAATTTTGATTATCTTGTGGAAAGTTTGGCTGTTTTTAAAATAGCATTTCTTTTAATATTTGTTTTGCAAATACTTTCGCAAATAAGTAGATTGATGTCTTCAGATCAGTTCCTACTAAAATTGACCTCAATAATTTGGAATGGAATTGTTATTGAGGTTTCAAAGTAACTTTATTAACAGTTTTGTAAAGAGTTTCCATGTTCTATAGAGTTTTAGGTAGCACTTAACCTGGTTTTAGCAATTTGTTCTCCCTAGTATGGCTGACTTTCGTCACCAATCCTATACAGTTTCTTAACTTTAGAAAGGATTATAATTTCCCTTTTTTTTTTTTGACTCTGGTATCCTTTTTAGATGATGAAAGTTGTTCAAGTTTATGCAGACACACAAGAGATTAATTTGAAGGTAAGCTTTTCAGACCATGCAAACTTGGTGAAGGAATATGCATTATCAGTAGGTGACTATTCCTGTCTTTTGCTTGCAGGCTGATTCAGAAGTAGCTCAGGCAGGGAAAGCAGTTGCGTTGTACTTTGAAGATAAACTCTCAGAGATCTACTCAGACAGGACCTTCGCTCCTTTGCCAGAGTTTGAGCAAGAAGAGGATGATGGTGAAGTAACAGAAGACTCTGATGAAGACTTTATACAACCTCGCAGAAAACGCCTAAAGTCAGATGAGAGACCGGTGCATATAAAATAAAATGACGTGGACTTAATCAGTTGTTTTTAAAAAGAAAGAAATAACAGAAGGAAACAAAACAAAACACCCTTTTATTTAAGTGTTACTGGAATATCCTGTGTACAGTGGGTACCTCCTTAAAGAAGTTGGTAGCTTTCATACAGTATTAGATTGAAATAATGGACACAGAAAACATTCTTGTCAAGAAATGGGGAGAGAGCTCTGCAGCTTTTAAGTAAGAGCAAAGTCAGACATGAAAGAGTTTGACGATTTGTTACAAATGAAGATGGTTCTCTGACTGTTAGAAACTTAAATGATCATGTGTGTTAATTGGTGCAGGATGCTACGTCAGGCGAGGCTCATGTTGCATCATTGTGTCTCTGCTAGAGCACACAGTTACTCAAACAACTTATAAGTCTCCTCCTACACAGACACAAATGGGTTGTTTTCTGGTTAAAAATCGAGTAGATCATATTCCACTTGAATGTCACTAAAGATGCATTGAATCATGCCACTGTATTTTTTCTCATTTTGATCTATTGGGCCTTAGTTTTTAAATTGGTTTAAAGAACTCAAATGTAGTTTTATTTTCTACTTAGATATAGGGTCAAGGAACATAACTATTGATATCTGATAGTCAGCTTCAGTGGTGTTCTGAAATGAATATGGTAACTTCAGTAGTGGATCATACAGATTTTATGGAAGTCATTTCCAGAAAACCCTTCTAAACAATTACACATACTGGTCAGATCATCTGATCATGCGGTTAGTTATTCCCTCAAAAGGCAGAACATTTATTTCAAAATTTTCTGTACATGTAAATTAGATTGAGAAGGTGACAACTGACTCTCACCCAGTCTTTTCTTTGTACCAGTTTCCAGTAGACCACTATTGGTAAACAGAAATCTGTCAGCTACCAAATGTGTACAATTTTCTGTATTTCACTTTGTCTTATTTGTAAATAGTGAGCTCAGACTTCTGGCAGATCAGCAACATTTGCTGAGCCTGTTTTTTAAGCTAATGTGTATTCTTACTAATGTTCCTATCAAGAATGGATTTGTAATATATGCTGTCTATTTCTAATGTTCACATTCATATTTTGAGGTTCTATCTTATTTTAATAGAGAACAGACTTCTCAAAAAATCTTCAGAAGCAGCTTATTATTGAAATATCAAAATATTGAAATAAACCCGGTGGGGTTAGATTACTCATCTGTCCACCAAGTGGGACATGTGCATGGACTGGGGGCTTTAAATGACTTAGAAGATACTTGTAAGTAAATCCTGAGAACGAGCCAAACCCCATGTGAATGGTAGTTGGAGTGCACCCAGCTTTGTTTACTGCCTGATGACAGGAGTAATACCTGAAGCAGATAGACCAACTCGATCTGGTTTATTTTCTCCTCTTCGTTGTGATGCTCAAATCAAGTGTGCTCTAGACTGTGTGCGCATCTCCATTGGATTAAAAGTTGTAGTCCTACTTCTGTATGGACACAGTTACAAAGTGACCAAAGTAGAATCAACATCAGAAGCGTTTCAGGTGTCAGCAGATGTGTGGCAAATCACTTGCCTCTTAAAAACATCAGTTTAAGCAGTTCAGACTGTAGACATACTCAGAAAACTATTTGACTTAATTGTCGAAGAAGTGAATATTTTTAGTGTGCATTGAATCAAATAAAGTGCTCTAAAGAAATTATTATACAGATTCCTTTGGGTTTTTCTTTTCTTAACAAGGGATGTGGGTAAAGAGGAGTATGATTTAGGCCTCCTTATACTGCGCTTAAACAATATTGATCATACCACTGGCTTCATCTCTTGGCTTCCTTCTAGCTTCTCTTTCCTTATAAATTAAGGTTCATTTAAAAAAATGCTCCAGACTGATTTATTATTTCATTGAAGTTTCAAGTTGTTTTTTTTTATGAAGACGAAAATTTATTTTAAGATGTTTTATTTATACCTATTTTTCTCTTTTCTTTGATATCCATGATTCTGATTTGCAAGTAGATGTATATCTAAGGGCATATTTTTGGCAAGTGGGAGAATAGGGGCCTAACTTAATTTTGTGACGCTTCTGAGCCAGTGTTTTGTATTTGTTTTTCATATTAATTCTTTACAAAATTCTTAGTAATGTTATAAATAAGCTCTGTCAAGTGGGCACAGATTTTAAGCAAATGTTCCCCACTAAAGCCATTCTCGTGTTACATGGGAGATTTGTTTTCCCTTTGCTTGTTTTAATTCAAGACCATCCATTTAGAAGCTTCCGTTTCTGTTAGCAGAGAGACCCCTACTGCTGAGGAATTAACTTGTTGTCAACAAGCCACTCTTAAATGATACACTAACTTTGATAAAGCACTTCTGCACACTAGTCATTGTGTTTCCAGGCTGTTTAGCTTTAACATATGTATGGTTTAAAAGTATAAAAAACTTAAATTCTTACTCAAATTATCTCATATTTCCCTGTTTATATTTTTAAAAGACAAATGTAGAGTCTCCTTTAAGTCCTAGGTGCAGATGCGATAACTGTATTCTTTGATAGAGCCTCTGTCTCAGATATGGAAAAGAGCTCACACGTTGATTCCTTTAAATCCTTCAAAGCTCTTGATGAATTTAGGGTTACTTTTCCCATGAGAGAACGAAGCATAAGTGTTTCTCAACCCCGTTGTACTGGCCTTAACTTACCTGTCTCAGCACTGACTCCACTGCTTAGCTGAGCGAAGGAACTGCTTTATCAGGGTGGTGTGTGAGGGCTCTAGAGTCTGGTCAGATTATCAACCTTGCTCTGAACAAACTGTTACCATGGAGCTCACCTGCTGAAATTGCCCTCTTTGGAATCAACAGGTTGTGAGTTTTTGTTGTGTCTCCCCCCCCCCCCCACACACACACACTTTTGTTTCTTACTCAGAATTTTTAGGTTATTAAAAAGTCAGTTCTCATCCTTTGTTATAATAGGTTTTGGAATTTTTTAGTTAATCCAAAGACATAATGCTTTAAAGTGTGCAAATTGCAGATTTATCGATTACCTCAGCAGGTATCCTGCCATGTAATTATTAAATCAACAGATTCAGAGGTCTTCCGACTATGCCCTTGGCTAATTATAATTACCACGATGTAATTAAACAGTTTGCTCTATCCAAAATGGGGAGTAGATGCTGTAGGCCTCCCCCCTTAGCCAGCCTCATTCACATGTAGTGCATTAGGTACAAAAATTCATTTCTTGTAGCCAGAATTAGATTGAATCATTAAGTACTTTAATAAAAATGTAAGAAAATAAACGTGCTAAGTCCCTGAATTAAAACAGCTTCTTTGGCTGGGGAGATGGTTGGTAAGTAGAAAGTACTTGTTCCCCAAGCACGAGGTTCTGGGTTTGCATCCCCAGCACCAATACAGAGGTGGCCACAGTAGTGTGCACCTGGAAGCCCAGTGCCACTACAGCAAGTGGGAGGTGGAAGGTGAGGACTAATACCTTGAGCTGTCCTGACCGCCACACACACCCTACACACCTCCACATATACCCTCATACACAACCTGCGAGCTTACACACCTCCCCCACATGCACCCTAGGGTGTGCCCTCATACAACAGAGCGTATACACCTCCACAGGTGTCCTCAAATAGTCAAGCGTACACACCCTATTTGCCTCTACCAATTATCTGCTGAAGGTGATTTAAGAGTTTCAAGATGTATTGCACACCTGACCTGGATTAACTTACTTCTTCCAGTTAATGCTTCCTTGATAAAGCAATAACGCTGCTTTGAGTCTGTTGCCTAATAGCATGTCATAACCCTCCCCTGGATGGTGATTTTATAGGAAAGTTTGTATGCATATCACCCAATCTATCTTTTAAAAAAAATTAAGAAATTTAAATGTATGCTGGAAGTAATGACAATATATTGTGGCATTTTATTTTAAAAAATTGGGGAAAGTTGCATATTTTTTTAAAAGTAGCTGTTTGAGTAAAAAAAATTGATGGTACTTTTTTAAGGAAAAAAATTTATATGCCACAGTTTACATAGACATTTCCAATGTCAGCATTTACTCTTGGGTATAACAGCTTCTTTACTGGCTAAATGCATGTTTTACTTGGTCAGAAGTGTATCTCTCCCATCTTAGTTACTTCTGTTTCCTTATATGACCCTTTATATATTTTTATTGTAACTTAATTATCTTCAAAAGTAAGTTGGGTATATTTGTTAAAACTACAGAATGTATAGAATTGAGGTTCTCCCTTTTCTAGTGTTACTTAAAAACTGAAAACGATACTGTGTGACATTGAACAGATCCCAATGGAGGCACCAGAACGATCCTGAAGTGCCACAATACTCCATTCAGTTGTGGCCTAAATTTCATTCGTAAGAATGAAATGCATGTCTACTCCTGACCTGAGAAATGTAGGCGTTTACTATGTTTTAGAGCAGTGAAACATGGATGTAAGCCTACAACACAAGGTGTGTGCAGTTGGAAAGCCTGCACACACAAAGGATTCAAGTCACAGCCTTACTAGTTCCTTGCTTCCAGTATTTGAACTGGTCCTCCCCTCATTACTACTATTTTTGCACATAGTTAACTATCCTTCAGAATGATTCTTAAAAAGTGCTGTTTCTGTGGTATTGTATTCTCTAAATGGTCATATTTAATTTTTTAAACAAGGTTACAATTTCTTATGTTCTGTTCTTGTGTTTTTGCTGCCGTGTAATAAAAGCAAGTTTTTCTTTTCGTGGTTATTTAATACATTAGCTGCTTGTAAATAATTCTTGTCACAGTGCTCTGGAATGTGTTGTAGAAGTTGTATTAGATTAGTTTGAAGCCTTGTTTAAAAACCACATTGTTTTGGTTATTTCTATTAAATTAGAAAATTGCAAAAGTTTTCAAATGAATTTCTTTTCTTTTTGAGACTTAATTGCAATTCACTAGACACAGATGCTTGAAAGATACAGCCCTACCTTCAACTGTGAAGGTTTTCGACTTAGAATAATGGTGTTGTGATCCGTATTGGCGCACAAGACCTATGAGTGAGTCGCATAAGTAGTTTTCAAGAAAGGGAGAGGTGGTGGTAGTTTGGCAAGAGATAAGGATAAATTGGGTTTATCCTTCAGGAGACCATAGGCAGCATGAGTGGTTCAAGATTTAGTGGCGTGAACTCTGCTGGCAAAGTGAATAAGGTGGATGGAAACTCTTGCTTCTGGAAGTTGTCACCTTTAAACTTAAGTACATGAATCGCCAAGTAAAAAATCAACAGGAAGTGGTTATCCTCTGTAGCTGGTCTTTATTATGTAGTATAGATGGATTTTGTTTATTCATTGTGCAGACTTTGATTTGAGCCCCAGTTTTGCCATTTGCTTTTGTGGACCTTTCCTAGTCACGTGCCTGACTGGTGAGATGATGATGATGATGAATATCTGGCACAGGTGGGGCTCGTCCATGGGTCAATTTCAGTACCCATGGAGAGTTTTAGTTTGGGACCAACCTGGGCCACATAGTGGGATCCTGTCTCAAAAAGTTTTTTGAAAGAGAAATAAAATTCTCTTCCACACTAGATATATCCTAAATTCTTATCTTTTACAAATAAAATGTATATTAATTTAGTTGATCTGTTGATTTTGAGTTTTTAGAGACTAAACACAGAAGTAAAAAGATAATGGTAGTTTTTGTCTCTAGTTTTCCATTTTTCATACTACACAGCCTCAGATGGTGATAAACACCCTACCGTTTGGCATTTGTGTGTGAGTTTCTCACTTGTAAAGATGTTACTGTTAGTGATCTGGAAAGAAGTAGTACTTAGGGATGTTTGTTTCTGACAGTACACAAAGGAGCCTTCTTTATGGTGTGAAGTGCCTTAAATGTTGAAAGATTGATTTCAAAAAACAACAGCTTTATTTAAAAATATTTAGATTAATTATAAATATACTCAAAGCTCTACTACTCTGCTGGGGTAGGTAGCGTTTGACCTCAGTCTAAGTATGTGGGATAGTAAAATAAAAGTGGAAAGTGGGGGCAGTTGTGAGACCTAAGAACAAAGTCAGTGACTGAAAGGATCGAGTGCATGGTGTGAACTGGGTGGGTTTTTTTTTTTAAATATTTATTATGTATAAAATATTTTGTCTGTGTGTCTGCCTGCAGGCCAGAAGAGGGCATCAGATCTCATTTCAGATGGTTGTGAGCCATCATGTGATTGCTGGGAATTGAACTCACAACCTTTTGAAGAGCAGGCTTTTAGCTGAGCCATCTCTCCAGGCCTCCGGCTTTTTTTTTTTTTTTTTTCTGTTTGGTTTTTGGCTTGCTTTTGATTGATTGATTTTGAGTTCTTTAGCTAGATTTTAACTTCTAGGGACAAATGATTCTCTCATCTGACTCCTGAGGAGCTGGGACTGCGAGCCTATGTGCTTGACCATGGCCACTAAAGACATTTGAGGGACATTTCAGAAAGTTGTGGTATGGACTCTATATGATCTGGAGTAATGTTTGATTTTCTAAGTTGTGACAGAATATAACTTTTCCCTTTGGAAAGACAAGTTAAAATTACTGGAGATATGATGTCATCATTTTGCTCATTTTAGTAGTTAAGTGACCTGTGTGCAGAATATCATACTTGATGAAGAAGTAGCAGATAACATTTGTGAGTCTTGATGGAAGCCAGATGAATATGGTAGTGGTTCAGCCCCCCCCATAGCCTTGAAAATGTGTATTTTTTTGAGAATATTTATTCTCTGATAATGTCATACATGAATATCTGGATCATACTCAACCCAGTCCCCCCTCCCATTCTCCAGAACTTCACCCTGCCTCCTTCATTTTTCATTTTTTAACTAACCCACTGATTTCACTTAGTGCTGCATCCGTGTGCTTGGGGGTGAGGCCATCCACCAGTGACCTGAAGAAAACTGGCTCATCTACCCCCTCCCCGGCAGCCATCAGTTGCTCATAGCTCCTCAAGTAAGTGTGGGTAAATCCTGAGTCCTCCCATCCAGGCTAGAATGTCAGCTGGCTTGCTCTTGTGAGGGTTCCGGTAGATGGTGGTTTCATGAGTGTGAGCCACAGCACATCCAGAAGAAGGTAGTATTTCACAGCACTCCTGCCCATCTCTGGCTCTTACCAGCCTTTCTGCCATTGTCTCAATGTTGCCTGAGCTTTGGAGGAGTTGAGACAGATGTCCCATTCAGGACTGAGCACTCGTTCAGCCAAGTCATTCTCAGCACTTTTGACCAGCTATGAGCATTAATTGGTGCCCATTGGCCAAGACTGAAAGTAGTACTAAGCTTCAGTAGAAACGTAAATATTTAGAAGGCAATTTGGTAACTTGTCCATTTAACAAAACAATAGTAGTAGTATGTTCCCATCTAGGGCTCATGACCTCTCTCGCGATGGGCCTTCGTCTACTTTCATAGTACCAGATCTGAATTCCCTTCATCATTGAAGGAAGTCTGGCAGGAGCTTAAGCAGAATCTTGAAGAAAAACCATGGAGGAGTTCTGCTGGCTCACTCACAAGCTCATGCTTAGCAAGCTTTCGTACACAGCCCAGAACCTCATGCATAAGGGCTGCTACCACCACCTTGGGCTGTAGACAATCTACAGCTTGATAAAGGCCAGACGGACTCTAGACCACAGCTAGTCCCCATAACAGTCATGCCACTATTGCACAGTAGGCACATCTTACCTGGCAGGTTGTCATGCAGCATTCAGGGTCTACTGCTAGGTACAGACTTGAAGAGTCCTTGTTTAGCATGCATGATGGCCTGGGTTCAAACCTTAGCACCATATGAACTGGCTGTGTTGGTACATGCCTCTGATCCTAGCACTCAGCAAGTAGAGACAGAAGGATCGGAAGTTTAAGCTTGGTTTGTTTGTTTGTTTGTTTGTTTTTAATATACAACACAGGACCACCTGCCCAGAGGTAGCTGGGCCTTCCCACATCCCCAAACACTCAAGAAAATGCCCAACAAATGTGACTACAGGCCAATCTGGTGAATTTTCTCAACCAAGGTTTCTTCCCAGATGCTATGTCAGGTTTAAAAAAAAAAAAAGCAAACAAACAAAAAACCCAAAACCTAGCCCAAAATGAAAGCTAATAAATAGCAAACCTTTGAAAACGATCATTGAGAACATCTTGGTACTGCAATCACCCGCCCCCCCCCCAAGTTGTTGTATGCTTGCTTGCAAGGTGCTGCAAAAAGCAACAAACTCAGAACTTGGTGTGCACAGTAGCATGGGCACGTGAAGTCCTAGCTAGTGCTGCTGCTAGGAGCCAACCTGTCTCTTTTGTTATGAAAAGTCTTTTAAAAATTAAATATTTAAATACCATATTCCCCAGATCGCTGAGCAGCTGAGGGCTGTTACTAGGTATAGATGAGTTATAACTACAGTATAGAATCTGCCTGGAGAGTTGGGTCTGAGCTTGACTGTACTGGCTCTTAAAAGGTAAGATTTGCAGTTGTAAAAGACAGAAGAAAAAACTGCTTGCAGAACAAGGTTAACAGCAGAACTGACCATAGTAAAGAACAGCTCAAAATATTTTAAAGCAGGGTTGGATTAAATATAAAGTATTTTTGTAGGAGACTTAAAAGTACATACCAGTTTTAAAACATGAGAATGTGTTTGTAGTCTGGAATGAAATACAATGAACGGACTATTATAACATTTAACAGTAAACATAGGTGCATTTAAGTTACATTTATGCACACACACACACACACACACACACACACACACAGAAAGAACAGGAATTAGGCAAAATAGATGCTTTTGGTGGACCTTACCAAAGACATGCCATTCACAAAACACACAAGCATCAGAGTCAGAACTAGGGGACCAGGCAGGGAATTATCTCAGTAAAGATGGCGTAACTTGGTCACCTGACCTGACTCTCAGTAAAGTTGGCAGTTAAGTCACCTGACCTCAGTCAAAATGTCGGCGGTCACATGTTGTATGGAGAAGCCATGTTTTTTACTTGGTCACCTGACCTGACTCTCAGTAAAGTTGGCAGTTAAGTCACCTGACCTCAGTAAAAATGTCGGCGGTCACATGTTGTATAGAAAAGCCATGTTTTTTGAGCCACGGGAGTTTTAAATACAAGAACAAGAGAGATCTAGAAGTGTGATGTGCCCTGTTGCTGAGCTGCCACACCACAAGCGACGGCTGGAATTGAAAACAGCTGCCTCGAGAATCCGGCTAATCTTGTCGGTTTCTGGGGGACCAGCAGTAGCGGTGACAGGGATAGTTTGAGAAAAAGCAGAGCTGGCGGGACAACAGCAGAGCATTTACAGGCAGATGGCTGATAGTTTTCAGGGTTTATATTCCATAGCTGAAAACGTGAAAACCTGGCAAAACAGCAAACAAACACAGCAAGGCCTGTAGAAGAATGTTTTCTCTGTACAGGCGGGGTGTTGTTAAAGCCGACTGGCCCCAGTCCGGGAGACTGGGAAGCCAGAGGCTACACAACAAAGCCTATAAGAAAATGTCTTCTAGCCGGGAGTGGTGGTGCACGCCTTTAATCCCAGCACTCGGGAGGCAGAGGCAGGCGGATCTCTGGGAGTTCGAGGCCAGCCTGGTCTACAAGAGCTAGTTCCAGGACAGGCTCCAAAACCACAGAGAAACCCTGTCTCGAAAAACCAAAAAAAAAAGAAAAAAGAAAATGTCTTCTCTCTACAGGCGGAGTGTTGATGAAGCCTGACTGGCCCCTGTCTGGGCAAATAGGAAGCCAGAGAGGCTAGAGGCTGCTCTGAGCAGACTCTTATGGCAGGGACCACTTACAAGCGGTCCAAAAGAAAAGAGAAAGGAAAGAGAAAGAAAAATCTGAGGGACCCTGGGCCCCAAAATGAACACACTGCTCAGCGTGTATATTGCTAGTGCGGGTGGACTACCCTGGGTTG